CTAATCATAATTTACCCAGTTATACGGCTTGCAAAATCGCCAGTTTCATGCGTGTCGTACCATCCGATGTCTTGTTTTAGTATAGAAGTCATAAGCAAACAGCGGATTTTAAAAGCTTGATTAGCTGCAGCAGAGTTAAAAAAAACAAATGAATATGTAATTGCAGATCAACATTACAACAACAAAATGCTGTATTGTAAATACACCACGTTGTTGAATCTTTTAAAAATTCTTCTTTCGATCTGAAAGAGGAAAACTTATCATAAATGTCAATGTTTAATAAATGATATAAATTGCAATCAAAATATCAGAAATGAATTTATTTTATTAGTGAAAATTTAAAATTATTTCAAAAGTGAAAAATGACTTAAAGAAAATTTTTTTTCAGTCTTGTAATTCGAAAGATATGGTGATTAATGTTCGAAAAGTTTGTTAAAATGTATGCTTTAGGGAGTCTTCAGCCGGCGGGGTTCGAACCCACGAACTCTCGGACATGGGATAGCCTTACCGACCAGGCTATCCTGGTAAAATTTGGTAGAGCAGCAGCTTTAATAGGGTGCGAATTTGAGAGACTTGTAATTGTTCTTCCTAAATTTGATTATATAATACATATTATTCATTTTTAGCGAAAACATCATTTTAACTAAACACTTTAAACAGGGCCGGGATAGCCTGGTCGGTAGGGCGCTGGGCCCATATCCAAGAGGTCGTGGGTTCGATCCTCGCCGGCCGAAGACTTCCCGTGTAGTAAATGGTGACTGATGCACGTTAAATCTGTCGAGTCTCAAAGTCCTCAATTCTTGTTATTCCTTTAGAGCGTAAACATGATATAATTTAACACTTTATGACGTAACAAAATTCAAGGTATCAGTTTTATAGTTTAATGGTGAATCCATTTTTCTGAGAGTGAGCATCAACTTTAATGTAGTGCAAAAGTGAGAGACATTGCTATTGCTCTTCTTAAACTTCATTATATAATATTTATTATTCTTTTAGAACGAAAATATGACATAACTTAATTCTTATGGTACTAGGAATCAATAATATAACCTTAATGTGGTGTAAAATTGAGACATATTCTCCTCTAACTTGATTACATAATACTTAATATTCTTTTTGAACGAAAACATGATTCAATAAATTTTTGTTTTATAGTATTATGGTTCAACTTTATATGATTTTCTTCTGATAATGTAGTTAATAATAAGAGTTTATAGGAGTAACGTTTGTTTGCTTTTTATAGTATGATAAATGATAAAGAAAAATGATGTCCAGGCTTAATATTAGAGAAACAATAGCAAACAATAAGTTCATTTAAAAAATTCTCGATAATAATCTATAATGTTATGTTTAAAAATATAAATTGCCTATCTATTAAGTAGATACCTATGTATAGCATGACACGGAAATGTATTACTTTGATTAAAAAATTTCACTAAATAATAATAAGAAACCTAACAAATTTGTATACGTTTTATTAAAAGGAAATAAAGCAAAACTATACAAAAGAAATTTCTCTTACAGAGAATATAAATTTCACTGACAGAAAATGTGATTCAAAAAACTTTTTTTCAATTGTATGACCCTGAGAAACACAGTGACAAACAAGTAATTTTACATAATACAAACATCACATAACATACAAATATCACATCAAACAAAGATCACTGAGGGGTTAATAAATTTTGTTGTTACGATTTATTCAATGAATTCATTGTACTTATTCTTTATATTTCTATGATTGTACCTTAATTATAGTGTTTAAACTTTACCTTCAAGTGCATTATTTGATTTTGATTCAGTTACTCGACTGCAACTTTGAACAAAGCAGTACTGTATTATGACATAAAGAAAAAAAATAACACTAATTTAACACTTTTAAATGCTGAATTCAAGTGAAATCTGTGCCTTATACAAACTATTATGCCCTGGGTACAAATGGACAACTTGTTTATCTTTATAATAACAGACTACACTGTAAAAATTCACTGTTAAATTACTTTAAAATGTACCGGCCTACAGCGAAATCGATTGCAGTAAATACAGAGCATAAATTTTAATATATTTTCATTTTTTAAGTAATGTTTGCTGTGAAATCAATAACTGTAACTAAAATCATATTACTATAAATATTACTGTAAAAGATACGATATAAAATTTTGTGATGACAACGGATTTTATGGTAAAATGCATTTAATGGATGTTGCACACAGGTTGTTAACACTATTAACCGTAATTTAATTCGAAAATTTTTACAGTGTTTCTCCTGTAAAATGGTTGAGAAACATATAATGTCATATTTTTTATAAAAAGCAAAATAATATTGTCTTCAATTTAAAAAAATTATATGTTTTTTTCATGTCATGTTTCAAAATTGTAACATGGATGCTAAATTTAAAAAGAAAATTAACTGAATTATACTTGCAATTAAGAATACAGCTATAAAACTTGCAATTAAGAATTAGGTATGAAAAACTTTGTGTTATAACAAATACGTAGTTACATATATTTTGCACATTGTAGTTAACAAAGATGGCACACATTACGAACATTATTTACTTCAATTTTCATAAATTCATAGATTTCATAATTCATTCAAATATTCGAAAATTTCATAATTTCATAATTCATTCATAAATTTCTAAAATTCAAAAATTTCATAATTAAAAAACTTTACAATTGAAAAATTTCATAATTTCAAATTCATTCACAAATTTTATAAATTTCTATTGAAAAAAACAAAGAAAAAAAACTCAATTTAGAGAGCAGTTCAATATTGGTTTTTTCTACCTTGAGAAAATTCTCTAATAATTGTGAAAAAGTTACGCATGAAATTTATTAGTTAAAACTCATGATATTGAAAAAATAACCTATGAAAACCCATAATTAACGTAATAAAACTAAAATAAAAGTGTTTAGTATGGTATTGAATGTGTACTTGACAATGAAAAGCAATGCATAACGCAAAAAGTTTAGCAAAAACGTTACAGAACATTGACCAAAGAAATTTAAATCTTTAAAATGTCACAATTATTTATCGCAATTGAATTTTTTTTCTTTTGCTAAAACAATTAGGTATGGTGAGTAATTTTTAAACTAATCGTTAAGAATCGCCTTTTTTTCCTATTTTACATTTTACGCCTTATTGTAAGCATTCGGATATTCTTAAAACAAAGATACATCTATACTTTTCAAATAAATAAATAAACAAAATAAATAAATAAATAAACAAAATAAATGAATAAATAAACAAAATAAATAAATAAATAAACAAAATAAATAAATAATAATAAGACAGTAGTTGCAAAATTGTTAAGATTGTAGCACTCTTTAAAATTATGTGATTGCATATTTAAAACTCCTCAAAACAACTTTTATTAACGATGTTAGTTTGTAAATATTATCAGTTGAAGCATTGTAACACCAAAACAAATACATAAGCCTTTCTCTTCAAGTATTGCCACGTGGTGAAACGGCCTTAACCATCTTTAGAAAGTATACATGTCTTCTGCCCCAGTCTTCTTTACTGATTAGTCAAGGTGCTGATGAACTTGTAGCCAGAAAATAAACAGGTCATTTCATGTTTCGTAGACTAGGTCTAGGTTGGTCATAGGTTAATGATGATATTTTATCGAATCTATTGCACTATCATAAGTTCAAAATGAAAAACTGAAGTGTGAATATTGCATTTATTATATTTGTTAAAAAATAAATAAATATTATATTTTTGGATTTATTTTACGGGCTAAATGTTCAATCGTGCATATATGTGTTTCAGATTCAGAATAATTTTTGGTGCATCTTGTACAAAGCAATGGTGTAGCTGAAAAGTGNAGGTGCTGATGAACTTGTAGCCAGAAAATAAACAGGTCATTTCATCTTTCGTAGACTAGGTCTACGTTGGTCATAGGTTAATGACGATATTTTATTTAATCTATTGCACTATCATAAGTTCAAAATGAAAAACTGAAGTGTGAATATTGAATTTATTATATTTGTTAAAAAATAAATAAATATTATATTTTTGGATTTATTTTACGGGCTAAATGTTCAATCGTACATATATTTTCAATTATAATATAAATGAAATTTTGTAAAACTTTGAGAATTTGCGTTATATTTAAACAACTTAGTGTGAGCGTGCTAAACTTTTTGAAAGCTCGCTTTTAAAAGAATTTTTTTTTCCTTTTATGTTAATTTGAAAATATATAAGACTTTAATATTTAGTATTTAAACCTATCTCAGTGCATTGAAATCTTTTATAGCTACATATATTTAAAGAAGGGAAATGAATTTAAACTAAAAGTATCTCTTAAAAGACAGATTCTCTTAAAAACAGTATTTTATTTATTTATTTATAAATAAATAAAACAATTTTCTTGATTTTTTTTCTCCATTTATTAAGAGTTATATGTCTGTGCGCGACTGAAATAAAAAGTAATTATTACGAAAATCTGTTAAAAATTTTGCATTAATTATTAAATTATTGTTTTGATGCTTAATCTTTTATAAACAGTGCTTTAAAATGCTTTTGAAAATCGTTGGTTTCAATACATACATAGAATTGAATGCTTTTTAGTTGTAAGTTTTTTTGAGGAATGTTAAATATAAATTTATTATATAAGATTTAATTTAATACAATTAAAGCTATATTTTAAATTCTTTTTTGGCATTTCTACGGTATTAAATACTGATTTACTTGTTACTATTTCAAACTATATTTTTCAATCAGTTATTTTGATTAGCAGATAGAGAAACAAAGAGGAAAGAAGACTTATACTTAGAAGGCGACGACTTATACTTAGAAAGAAGACGTATATAACTTCTTATTTAACATAATACTTAGCATTATAATAAGAGTTTAAATATTTAAATTTCAGTTTCATAAAAATTTGAAATCAAATTAAAAATATTAAATTTTTATTTTTAATATTTGGTTTTCTAAGCTTATTTATAAGTTTATTTATCAAATCACATTATTCATTTAATATTTTAGCTGAGCGATTAATATTTTTATGTATGTGAGACTATTAAATGTTTGTATTCCTAATTAGTATTAAGCATTATTGAAATTAATTAAGGCACGCTTTGTTTCTGAAAATTATGTTTCTTTCTCTTTTTATAACTAAAATTCAATTAATAACATATTTCGAAAGCAGACATTTCATAAAAGCGGATTATATATTATATTTTAATTTTACGTGAGCGAAATTGATAATTAAAATTTTTCCCCCTTTCTTCTTCTTTTTCAAATAAATTTTGACAGATTTAGTGATGCCATCTACTGATAGTAAGCAAAACTTAGCATGATTTAGTAAAAGCAATTTATAAAAATTATGAGCAACAAAAATACTTTAAAAAAAAACACTGAATTTTTTGAACTGAAATTCATTTAGTAACATATTTCAAACGCTGACATTTCATAAAAGCGGATTATATGTAATATTTTGGTTTTACTTTACAACAGTTTATTTGTGATTCTCTTCCCAAAAAATTTTTGCGACAGGTCTAGTGACGCCATCTACTGATAGTAAGCAAAACTTAGCATGTTTTAGTATAAGCAATTAATTAAAATTATCAGTTACTAAAAAAAAAAGAAAAATAAATAAATAAAACAAAAAAACATTGAATTTTTTTTATCTACAGACACCTGTAAAAAAGTTAAAAGGTTAAGATCAAAATTATATCTTTTCCCGAGAAATAACCAGCACTAATTACTTATAAAAAAACTACAAATGTTACATATTCGACATCGATGAAATAAAGGACCTGAGTTAAATCACAATATGTAGAGAATTTAGTTAACTCCAGCTATGTCATAGTAGTCTGAACATTATAAAGATTGTAATAATGTCCTTTTAAGTTTAGAAGTTCTTGGTGGGTACCACTCTCTACAATTTTCCCTTTGTAAATTACTGCTATTGTGTCTGCATTTTGAATTGTAGAGAGTCTATGAGCTATAATAAGACATGTGCGTCCACTACTTGCTTTGTCTAATGCTTCTTGCACAACCTAAAATATAATAGAAAGATATCTAAACATTTTAAAATTTTATATAAGTCACTTTTTGTGTTATGTGGTTTTCACCTTATTCACCCAATTTGTTAATAAGCTATTAGTAACTAAATTTGTTTGATAATCTTATTTAATTTTTCTTGCGGACAGTTATAATATATTTTTCACATGATCTATGATGTGATTATTCAGTGTAAATATTTTAAAAAAATAATAAAAAATAAAACGCCCCAAGTATTGGAAAATAAACAAATAATCAACACTAAATATTAATCTGTAAAAGACATGAATAATTTAAAAAGAAATAGAGACCAGTGTCGATCTCAAGAAACTTCAAATGATGGGATTTGATTCAAAACATTCGAATAATGAAATTAAATAACGGTAAATATTTTGATCATTAATAATAGAAAATGAAAGGTGCAATCACACTAATTAAACAATCATTAGTCATTAAAATTCCATATAATGGAACTAGGTTAAATAATAATAATGATAGAAGAAAATAAAACCCCCGAGATAAAGTTTTAATTATGTAAAATAATCAGCAAATAATGAAAAGTTTTTTAGCATCTTTACTGAGGTATACTATAAAATTTAAAAAGTTAATAAATGATTATTTATTATATATAAGACTACGTAAAAATTTAATGGATTCTTAAGACAAAATAGAGGTCATCTAATTTACAAGTGGATTAATTGCAGGGAGCCAAATAATCATCATGAGAAGTATAAAAATATTATTTTATTTCATAACCGGCATTGATCAGTCGACCCAATTCTGAGTTTATGACCATCAAGGTTCAACTCCGTAGCCTTGCAATTTTGAACCAAATCCAGGAAAAAAAGGAACTCCTGTATCAGGTATATAAATACACAAGTGGGCGACCTTTGTGCTAAAATACAAACTAAGGTAAACAACGTTTAAGAGCACAAAAAGTATTTATAAATCCAGACAGCTGTTTCGGATGCTCAAAGGGCAACCTTCATCAGTGCAACAGAAAGAAATTCGCTTTCGCTTTATTTAAAAAGAACTGGGCACCTGGGCCGCGCAGCGGCCCCTATCCCATACATCGTGACANAATTGTCTCCGTATGATATAGAGAAAAGTGACGTCACAAGGGGGGGGGGATTAGAGCAACGGCTAATAGGAAGGACGGGTGAATGGATGACGACGAATGGGTAGCAAGGAACAAAACAGGGGGTTAGTTAGGTTTAATCATAGATTTCCAAACAGGAGAAAGATAAGGAACGCTGGATAGGTCATTGACCAACAGTTTGGAATGTTTGAATATATTATAGGACTCATAAAAGTCTAAATCAAAAATTGAAGAACAATTTTGAATGACTTTAGAAGAAGAAAAATCAAAATTATGATTAGAGTCCCAACAATGTTGGGCAATAGATGAGCGTTTAGATTCTTGTTTTTTGACATAGGCTTCATGTTCCTTGACACGGTACTTTAAGGCACGCTTAGTTTGGCCAACATATGAAAGGCCGCATTGGCAATTAATTTGGTATATACGCCAGCTACTTTGACTGTCAATGGGCTGTTTGAGATTAGAACATTTTATCTTATTAATGAGACTGAAAATAATATTGAAATCAAACTTCTTTAGGATATTAGCAACTTGCCGACTTATTTTAGGAAAATAGGGTAAAATGACTAAATTGTTAGAAAATTCTTTGTCAGGTTTATCGGTAGGTGATTGTTTAGTTAAGTTTTTATAAATATTATCAATGATGTTAGGAGAATAACCTCTGTCATGAGCAATGGCTTTGATGTATGCATTTATAAATACTTTTTGTGCTCTTAAACGTTGTTTACCTTAGTTTGCAATCCTGTATCAGGTGTTAGGACTTTAGTATTACTTTTGGTGGCATCTGCGTTACATTCTGAGAAACCTCCACGAAAACCTCCTCCGGTTAGCCCGACGGTAAGGGGATTTTAAATTATGATCCTTCTACTACTGAACTTACATCAATGCTGTGGTCCGAACGAGACGGGAGCAGAATTCGTACCAACCAGTCAACGCTGAGATTCGTACCTGGAAGCGAACATTTTGTCCCCTGAGCCGGCTTGGTGTGTAGTGTTAAAATGTTTATAACCGTCGTTAAACAGCCGACCCAAATTTGAGTTTACGATTACCAATGTTCAACATCATAGTCTTGTAGTTTTGAACCCGATTTAGATGACAAGGAAACTCTTGGATGAAATATTGAGAGATGAAATATGAGAACTTTTTGAGGGAACTAATGCGCTTTTGTGTTACATGGATAGGAAAACCTCCCACGGTTAGCCTGATGGTAAGGGAACTCTAACCCATGATCCGTCCACCGCTGATTTTACGTCTGCATTGTGGTCGGTGCGAGCCGGGTGCAGAATTCGCATCAACCAGCCATCGCTGGGTTTCAACCCCGGGTTACCTCACGGCGAGTGGAGCGTTCAATCCTCTGAGTCATCGCGGTTCATAGTTTTAAAATTGATAAAGTATCTTTAAAAAAAACAATACTTCTTTCTAAAACTAAAAGGAAGGCAGAAAGTTTAGAATGAATTCTTTCAAAAAGCCTGAAAATCGTTTCTAAAACCCCCACCATTAATATTTTTTTGCTAATTTTTAAAAAATTCTTTTTTTTTTGAAATTAACTTATATTTTAAAAAAAAGTTAACAGTTTGATAACTTTTTTTCCACAGAAAAATCCTAATGATTACGAATAAACTTTTATAGAATATTCAGAATGTTTTGCTACTTTCGTTTACAAAATTTCGTCACATTCGGGAGAGTAGGTTTTTTCGGCAAGGTATCTTAAAATAAACTCGCTTTTTTTAATGATTATTCTCAATATTTTTCAAGTAACATTATTTTTTTTGTTTAAATTTCATAGCTAAAACTCATTACACAACTGAATCGGGAATTACATTCATCAGGCATGCGTTGTTTTGCAATTCTATTTTGTTTTTATACACAAAATATGCATGATGTTGCATGATAGGCATACTTAGGCATTTAAGCCTAAGCTGCTTTAGTCTTAATTTCATGAATAAATAAAATGCATAGCGACACAGTTTTAAAGGGGACCGGGATAGCCTCTGGTTGGTAGGGCGCTGGACTCTTCGAGAGAAGGGGAGTTTAAATCTAGCTGGCCAAAAACTCCCCGTGTAGTAAATGGTGGCTGGTGAGCGTAAAATCTGTGGGGTAATGAAGTCTTCCATGTTCCCATAACAAAGTTCATTACATAGTAAAGTACATTAGGAACATAACCATGTTCCCAATCGTTCTCCGGTTCAGGTCAAAATTGCGTATGAATTATGTACGAATGGGTCCGCCCTATAAGCGGGTGTGACGTATGGGTGTGGCAAAAATCAAGCTCTTAGCCATAAATAGCATCACTAGAAAAGAAGAACACTCGCTTCCCCAGCGCCTTAATGGCCTACAACAACATCATCAACTACGCAGTTTTAAACCATCTTCTCTAAAATGTTTCTATTTAAAATCAAGTGAAAGTGTTTAATATAGTATGCCAACTATATTAGAATTTTTTAATGAGAGTTTTGACTTACCTTTTCACTTTCTGCATCGAGGGCGGAGGTTGCTTCGTCAAGAAGTAATATTTTGGGATTTCTTAAGAGAGCTCGAGCAATAGCCACTCTCTGCTTCTGGCCGCCACTTAATTGCGTGCCTTTGTCACCAACTGGAGTGTCGTAGCCCTTCATAGAAAAAAAATATATATAACTGTAAATGAATTCTAAATAAATTTACTGTAAGATTATTCATCAATCCCATAAACAGCATGAGTTATTATTCTGTGCCTTCCATTGCTATCGAGGTGCACAAATCTTAGATTAAATCCTCTACAAATTTTCTACATCATTTCTAGTGTGATGTTCATAAATTTGTGATCTTCAGTTCATGCCAATATTTTTTTCATAATTTGTTGTTCTTTCGTTAAACTTTCTTGATTTTAATTCCTTGCGTTATTCAGGAAAATAAGCTCGTTTCTTATCTTTGGAACATGAGTATAGATCTAAGTGGGAATATGCTTATGGAATTAGCAATATGCCTCTTATTGCATTTTTCTCCAAAAAGGATTCTTTTTTGTTTAATGCGCATGTTCTAAAGCTTATTTTTGTAGAAAACGCAAATTTCTTTTCAATTTTTAGTGGTTTTCTGACGAAGAAAAACTTAAGAAATGTTATTTAAAGTGAAATTAAATGTTTTGAAACGAAAAGACATAACTTGTTGACATAACTGAAAGGAAAAAATGATGAGCACTAAAAATAAAGTAAAATATATTTTTATTTTTATTTTTACCTGAGGTAATGAAGAAATGAAGTTATGTATATTGGCTTGGCGTGCTGCTTCTATAATTTCTTGCATTTCAACTGTTCTAGAATTGTCTCCGTATGCAATGTTTTCAGCTATACTATAACTGAATAAGACAGGTTCTTGTGATACAAGGCCAATGTGAGATCGGAGGTTGGCTACTTGCAAATCTGAAACGTTTTCTCCGTCAAATACCTAATTTGAACAACAAAAAAAAATTATTTTGTCTACTATATAAACAACAACCACAACTTAATCAATCACGCATAAATCATCTTTAATTAATATAATTATATCTGTTTTTATAACTGGGCGATTCCATGAAAAAGGGGAAAAGCACCGGAAAATTCAAATAAGAATAATGTTATTATTTTGGATTTTTTCTGAATTAGAAAGGTTTGAAGTTTGATAATTTATAAATTTTTTTTGAGAATTCAGATTTTTAGTGTTGGTAGCCCATTGAACATTGCATTTACTTGTTCTGATCTGGGTGAAGAACATGGTCAGATTCTTAAAATCAGTAACTTAACATTATCTTCCTTTCAAAATGTTCCAAAGAATAAATATTGTTTATTACACTTAGTAGAAATATTGTGTAATGTTAAAATAACTTTTTGTTGCTAAATTCACTTAATTATATAAATTTCAACTAAACGTTAATGCATGTAACGTAAGTTACCAAAAACTAGGAAAAGTTTTTATGTGTAAAAAAAAACATGTGATACAAAAGTAAGAATATTATTTTTTCTTTCTTAGAGACTAGCACTAAATAAGTAGCAATAGCTTTTTTTTTCAAATATTATTTATTTACTGTTTTGTGCACTATTCAATATATGTAACGTAAGTTACTGACTTGCATGTAATGTTAGTTACCAATGTGAAATGAGTTCATTTCTTTTGAAAATTGGCATATAAACTAAATAAGATGTATCCAGTTATAATAACAAAGTTTAAATAAATAAACACTGCCTTAGGATATTAATTTTATTGAAAATCTTTGCATTAAGTCATTTTATTGGATGTTGGCATTCATATGTTTTCAAAGTTGGACGAAATCTCTCTAGAAGCTAATGGTGGCAAGAAGAAAGTACAAGCACGTTATCTTCTTCATTCAGTTCGAGAAATGTACCAAATGTTTATGGAAAAAAAATCCAGAATGCAAAATTGGAAGACTAAGTCCTTTGAGCTCCGTCCAAAGCATGTCTTGCTTAGTAGCAAACCTCCTAGAAATGTTTGTCTTTGTAAGTATCACGAAAACTTCGGATAAGCTACTGAAGCCTTCAGAAAATTCCATAATGTTCCATCTTACGCAATACTTCAGAAAATTATTTTTATGTTCAGAAAAAACAGATGAGTGCTGGTCTGGAGAATGTGTGCCGGTGGATATCAAAAATGTTCACATCTGGTCAGATGGGCCAAGGAGTCAGTTCAAGAATCGATATATAACTCCGGTCTTACCTGTTTTTGAGATTCATCATGGAAAAATATTGATGTGGAATTATTTTGCCACGTCACACGGCAAGAGTCCTGTTGATGGGACAGGTGGATCTATTAAAGGAAGTGTAAGAAATGTCGTATAGAAAAGAAAACATATTGTCATCAATGCCTCTGAGTTTGGGGCAGCAACACAAGAGCATTGAACAAAAATAAATATGGTAGAAATCACACCAGAAGATATTAAGAAGCGTCAGAAAAAGTTAATCTGTCTAGTCTATTCTCAAAAGCTCCACAGATTAAAAACATTAAGCAGATCCACCATTTAAAAGTTCAAGAAGGTATACCAGAAGGGTTTTTTAAGTGAAAGATGTTGAAAAACAAAATGATGAATCCAAAATAAAAGCTGGAGATTAGTATATGGTTAGATACGAGGAAATGTTATATCCAGGTGTGGTAATGTCTGTTGAAGAGCAAGAATTTAAAGTCAATGTAATGGCTGCTGTGGGAATCTATTGGAAATGACAAGGAAAAAGAGATGAAATATTCTACCAGAAAAAAAGCATGGTGAAAAGAATTGAGCCCCTATACTAGTTAATAACAGAGGACATTATAAGTGTGCATAGTAATGTCTGAATCAAGTATGTAAATGAAAAGTTTTTTGAGTTTACTTCATGTACACTTTTTCTCCCTTGCACTATACTGTTTAAATATGTTAATTTGCATTTGTACATTACTGGAGTAAAAGTTTGATGCAAAGGGAATTTCGTAACGTAAGTTACTGTAACGTAAGTTACCCATTTAAAAAATTATATTTAATTGAACTTTTGAAATAAAATCTTAAATCTAGGCATAATAAATATTTAAACATGTCAGTAAAATGATACATATAATCTTAATCAATTAACATTTGTATGAGAACAGAATTTTGCCTTCAAGCATATTGCAAATTTATGCCATTCCTTTTTCAGTAACGTAAGTTACCACACTAGTTTTAGGTTTTTACACTGCTTAAATGGAAAAATATTAATTATTCTAATTAGGTTGCTTTTGGTTTTGATTGTAATTTTAAGAAATCACTTTATTTTAGATTGTGTATTAGTATTATTTGTATGCTTCTAAGTTGTCAGTGCAATAAAATTTCTGTGAATGTAACGTAAGTTACCATGGAATAGCCCANTCAACGGCCAACTCTGGTGCTGACGAGTATGCAATTACTTGGTCTCCTTGTTCTGCTGTCGTGATGGTGAGACTTCTAAACTTCGCATAAGGTCCTTTCGACCTGGGTCTCTCTTATTAGAATTCTTACAGGTAGATAATGAAATAACAAATAGTATTTGGTGCATTTTTAGTCAAAAACTACGCGATAGATCAAATACATAATTTATAACAGAGATTAACCTTATAGCATGCGAAACAAATTTTTAAAGTTGTTAGGTATTTTATACATTTAAATTTTAAAAAAGTATCTGAAAGAACAATATTTTTGTCTAAAACTTAAAGGGCTGTAGAAAATTTTGAATTAATTCCTTGAAAAAGTTTCAAAATCGTTTCTAAAACCCCCACCAATAACATTTTTTTGCCCATTCTTTTTAATGAAATTGATTTTTTTTAAAAAAAAAAAGTTTACTCTTTGTTATTTCTTTTTTCCACAGAAAAATCCTAATGATTACCAGCAAACGTTTTTTTAGAATATTCAGAATGTTTTGTTATTTTCGTTCACAAATTTTCGTCACATTTGAGAGAGTAGGCTTTTTCGGTCTTATAGCTTAAAATAAACTAGTTTTTTTATGCTTATTCTCAATTTTTTTCAAGTAGAATTATATTTTTGTTTAAATTTCATAGCTTAAACTCATTAAACTGAATCGGGAATTGCACTCATCAGACATGCGTCGTTTTGCAATTCTGTTTTGTTTTTATACTCAAAATATGTATGATGTTTTGCATGATATGCATACTTAGGCATTTCAGCTGCTTTAGTCATAATTTCATAAAAAAATATAATGCATAACTACACAGTTTTAAAGGATAGCCTGGTTGGTAGGGAGCTAGACTTACGTTCGGGAGAAGGGGAGTACGAACCCAGCCGACCAAAGACTCCCCGTGTAGTAAATGGTGGTTGGTGCGGGTTAAATCTGTCGGGTCATGAAGTCTTCCATGTTCCCATAACAAATTATATCTATGGGGGTACTGTATTATCGTTCTCTGGTTCAGGTCAAAATTACGTATGAATTATGTACGAATGGGTCCGCCCTATAAACGAGTGTAACGTATGGATGTGGCAGAAATCAAGTTCTTAATCATAGATAGCGCCACTGGAAAACAAGAACAATCTCTCCCCCAGTGCCTAAATGGTCGACGACAACATCAACTACACAGTTTTAACCATCTTCTCTAAAATGTTTCTAAAATTAAACTATAAATACTAAAATCCTGGTGCTTAAAATCAAGTTAAAGTGTTTATATAGTATATTAACTATATTAGAATTTTTCAATGAGAGTTTTAACATACCTTTTCACTTTCTGCATCGAGGGCAGAGGTTGCTTCGTCAAGAAGTAATATTTTGGGATTTCTTAAGAGAGCTCGAGCAATAGCCACTCTCTGCTTCTGGCCGCCACTTAATTGCGTGCCTTTGTCACCAACTGGAGTGTCGTAGCCCTTCATAGGAAAAAAAATAACTGTAAATGAATTCGAAATAAATTTATTGTATGACTATTCGTCAATCTCGTAAACAGCATGAGATTTTGTGTGAATTCCATTGCCATCGAGGTTCAAATATCTTAGATTAAATCCTCTACAAGTTCAATTTTTGTACATCATTTCTAGTGTGATGTTCATAAATTCGTGATCATCAGTTCATGCCAATATTTTTTGTTGTCCTTTTATTAAACTTGATTAACTCATTAAACTTGATTTTAATTCCTTACGTTATCCAGGAAAATAAGCTCGCATATTATCTTTAGGACATGAGCATAGCAATAGTGGGAAGTGATGTAGAAGTGGGAATATGCTTATAGAATGAGCAATATGCCTTTTATTGCTTTTTTCTCCAAAACTGATTCTTTTTTGTTTAATGCGTAGATTCCAAAGCTTATTTTTGTAGAAACCGCTAATTTCTCTTTAATTTTTAGTGGTTTTCTGACGAAGAAAACTTAAGAAATGTTATTTAAAGTAAAATTAAATGTTTTGAAATGAAAAGACATAACTAACACACACAAAAAAAAATAATGATAAGAACTAAAAATAAAGCAAAATATATTTATGTTTTTATTTTTACCTGAGGCAATGAAGAAATGAAGGTATGTATATTGGCTTGACGTGCTGCTTCTATAATTTCTTGCATTTCAACTGTTCTAGAATTGTCCCCGTATGCTATGTTCTCAGCTATACTGTAACTGAATAAGACAGGTTCTTGTGATACAAGGCCGATGTGAGATCGGAGGTTAGCCACTTGCAAATCTGAAACGTTTTCTTCGTCAAATACCTAATTTGGATGAAAAAATAAATTATTTTGTCTACTATATAAACAGCAACCACAACTTAATCAATCACCCATAAATCATCTGTAATTAATGTAATGACATCTGTTTTAATAACTTATTATATAAAACGAAGAAAAGACGGGCAAAATCTTTTTGTTCCAAATTATATGATTTAAACGCTAAGTATGTTCGTTATACTACATGGTGTAAAGAAACAGCCAAAACTTTTGATATTCAGTAAGACTAAAATTTTTTAATTACAGCAAGAAAACATGCACATAAAGTCAGTTATTTTTGCGAAACAATATTAACTAAGAGTAATTAATTGTAGATGCTTACATACACTAATTCTTAAATTAAAATTAGTTGTTAAATTAAACATACGCAAAGTTAAGGAGAATATTAAGACAAATACGAACAACGCTTAACATAAGAAAAGTGGATAGAAATTTTAGATTATTAGTTTTAGCTTGTTATATGCATTTTAGAGAATTTTAAAAATTAAAATATTGTGTTGTTATTACTAATGCCATATGACAAAATAAGCAAGCCTGCTTGAAATTAAGCGAATTTTAAGACAGAGGATGCGTTTCTAGCTTTTTTTTTTCTTCAGGGGAGTCATCTATGACCAAGAACACGACTTCAGCCATGCACACGTCATAACCTGTTTTACAAGGAGGACTAAATCATACTCCATTCATTCACAGATCGAAATTTTGATTTGAACTAGAGAACGATCTTCAATTCAGTACCCCAAGAGGTATTAAACTGTTATGGGAAATTGGAGGACTTTGTGCCTCCGACAGATTTAACGTACACCAGAAACCATTTAATACAAGGATATTCCTTGGTCGGCTGTATTTGAACTCCCTTTCTAACGAACATGAGTCCAAAGTCCTACCAACCAGGCTATCCTGGCCAAAATTAAAATATTAATAATCTTACTGCACTACTAAAATCATAGATACGTATTTTAATGGCCCATATTTGTTTGTTTAAATGTATCGTTGCGTAGAAAACAACAATGAACTATCTTGTATTTGTACTTAGAATGCAAGCATTTGACTATTGATATCATAGGTGAATATGATATGAGTGTGTATGAGCTTGGTGAACCTTCTGAAATATTTATGACCAATTGGCTTGGTTTTAACTTAAAATAAAGTATTCCGTCACACAATTTTTTAGGTAGTTGGAGGTTTTGAAACGTTAACTCATTTTCGTATTTATTTCAGTGATTTAGATTCTTTTCATAAGCCTATGATCTAATTTTTTTCACTCCCATTTAAAACAAAACGTCTTCTTTTGGCGGAATTGAAACCTTTGGTAATCAAACTATACTTAAAATAATAGAAATGATTGAATGAATAAAAATTGTAACTTTGAGATTTCCTTAGTGAAATCAAAGCAACCAGAGAACCAACTTCACTGACTGGCAAAACGTTTATCTATTACTTAATTAAAATAGTCACTTCTATGGCGTTATGCAGTTCAGAAATATTTAGCATTTTGAAAACATTTCGTGTAAAAATATAACGGCATATTTTAGAAATTATTAAAAAAAGAATCAATTTCATTTTAGGATCAATTTCACTTCAGAATCAATTTCCCTTTAGGATCAATTTCACTTCAAAATCAATTTCCCTTTAGGATCAATTTCATTTCAGAATCAATTTCCCTTTAGGATCAATTTCACTTCAGAATCAATTTCAATTCAGAGGTGCTAAAAAAAAAGTTGTTTGCGTAACACTGGGAAACACACTTTTTTGCTGCATTTATACAAATACGTTAACTTGCCTAATTCAGGAGTTAGATTCCAAATCTGAAATTAGTTTTTAATAAAAAAATAGACGAACAAATAAAGAAAAAAATATATAATTTAAAACAAAAAAGGTTGTAACTTGGATAGAGAAACCTATTGCAGATTAGAAATCTGTGATACGAAAGTATCTAAGATGTTTTAACAAATCTCATGCCACAAAAAAGATGTTCCTCAGCGTTATCAGTTATACTGTATAAGTTATGGTATCTGTACTCAGACATTCTTAATTCAAATATTCATGAATTAAAACACTAGGAGGAACTGTTTTTTCTTATTTTCTCATTTATGTATTTCTTGATAATTAATAAAGGTTGGACAACAATCCGAAAGAAATATTTCGAAAAAACAACATTAAAACCATTTTAAGCTGCACATATAAATCATTATATCATTAGATAAATCATTATATGATTATATAAATCAATATATTATATAAATCATTATATCTATATATGAATCATTATATCATTATATAAATCGTTTCTTACCACATTCCCCTGTAAAGGGTCGTAAAAACGTTCGATCAATTGTACACAAGTACTTTTACCGCATCCACTACTGCCCACAAGAGCCACTGTCTTCCCAGCTTCAATACTCAAATCAAGTCCTCTCAATATTCTTGTATTAGGTCGACTTGGATAATTAAAGTGCACTTTTCGAAAATCAACATATCCCTTAACGTCATTCTAAATGAAGAGAACAATTTATGAAATTAAAATACTCAAAATGAGAAAGATGATAAAATTATCCCAGTTCTATGCATGTTTAAAATTTAGACAGATTTAAACAGATTTTGATTTTTTCCTGCCAATATGATCTGTACGTTAAAAATTAGTCTAGTTTTTTCTAAACATATGCTTCGTAGTTTGGGGTATCATTTTCTTACATCTTGTAATATTTGCAGTTCTTGACAATGCAATTTATATATACTAAAACTAAATAAGGTATTAACACATTTTTAGACAAATGTGTGTAAATACACCATTTCAATAAATATTTTGTATTTCCACTGTGATGCACACTGTATTTTTCTGCTATTTTTAAAGGTACTGAAGACATTTATTAAAATATGTTAGTCACTTATTTGGAATAAACAATTTCTGTTGAGAACATTTTAAAGTATGATGGCTTTTTTAAACTTGAAATGGTTATTTATAAATTCAACTTTTTGGAAATATAATTACTCCTCTTGATATTGATCATATGTTTTTATTACGGATTAAAAGTTCTACCGTTTTTATTCAAACCACAATCTATGCACCTTTACCATGATGAATTTTATCACCATTTAAGGACCTTTTCATTTCTTAAAAGTATTATTTCCCTTGAATGAAGCTTTTTTCTGCTTTAATGAATGTAATTTAAGCATATTTCAGTGAAAGTAATATCACATTTTTATGACACAATAAAAATAAATTTGAGGATCGGTCCTGTACTTTAAACATGTATCAACATGAATGCCTAGTCTCATAATTAGTAGAGATGAAACTTTTATTTTGATTAAATCAAAACACATAATAAAATTTTATTCCCATATTATTATATATTGCATGCATATTATCTAAATGTTTAGTTACATATTATCTAATGTTGTGCAAATGTTACAGGTTATGAACATGTTATCTAAATGTCGATAAATAAAATAGCATTATTTCAAGAATTGCTGCAAATATTTGAAACATGTTAAATAACATACCAGAATTTTTCCATGTACCGATAGAGAATCTATTCTAGGTTCTACATCAAGAAGTTTAAATATTCTAACAGCGGCTAGCTTAGCTCTATTGTAATCTGGAGCAAATGACATTGCTTGTCCAACAAACATCATCCCCATTAAAACTCCTTCGAGCACTCTAGTTTAATTAGAACAATAAAACGAAAAATTAACTCAATTATAAAATTGAGATCAAAAGTTAAATCTTGAATGGAAAGTTTAAAAATGTAAAGATAAAACGTTTAAAATAAAATACTGTTAAAATGCAACTATTATTTCTTTTGTTACAATATAAAAATTTCTATATAATTTGAAAATATAGTGGAAATCTTCACGCCAACAACAATCACCATGGGCTAAATGAGAATAAAAGAGGTCGATCAGGTTTGCTCGATGATGGCTACGAGTTGAAATAAGCATACGAGTAGAATACGCATACGCCCTGCAAGCTAGTCCCTTTCTGTGATTTTTTTTTTTTAAAAATCTTGCGGCGAACTGTCCGGAAATTGTCAAGATTTGGCGATTACTTCGTACGGATCACGATATGGAAATCTTCACAATATAACTACATATTTTACTTCGTTCAATATTTTGCACACTTGCACACTGTTACCAATTTATGTATCAAACATAGCATTTTCAACCGTAAAACGTCGCTTAAAGAAATATTTATCTTCGTAAAATTGTATGTTTTTGAAGCAAGCTGAATACCCGGTGTCCTTACAGAGGAAAAAATCTTAAATTTAATATTTTTTTTTAAATAAAAATTCGTATTTAAGTGCTGACGACACGAAAGAAGACGAAAGTAAGAACGGTCGGGAAAGAACCAATTCTATTCTTTTCGCTTAGTTCGAGATGAAATTTAATTTATTTGCTTACATTAAAAAATCCCACTAAATATTGTACTTTTCTTTCCGCCTGTGATTTAAATAACAATGAAAGAATCTCTCCATATTTTGTTCATGTTTATAGCTATAATAGGTTCTTGGATCTCGTAATTTAAACGAAAAACCGGTTTTAACACAATATAATTTAAAAAAAAAGAAAAAAAAGAAGGTTTGAACGCTTTTTAGGATCGAGAGAAAATATTGAATCCCACACACTGCTCTATATTTATGGAATCTAGCACAAACATTGGTTTATATAATATAATAATAAGATAAAGAGATATATGGAGAGTAACATATTGGCAAGATACATATATAGACACATATACACTAATTTTTACGGGATATACAATATCGTTCAATACAATCTGACAATATCGTTAGAAAACAAACTGAAAAATTTAATTTGTTTTCATCTTAAGAGAAGAATAGAGATATAAACTGTTATGACAAAATCGTTCGAAAACGAGCTGAAAAGTTTAATTAGTTTTCATCTTAGCTGAAGAATAGAGATATCTCTTCCCTGTTTTTTTTTTTTTTTATTGTAAATAAATTATTCGAAAGTTTTGAAAACCAGCTATTTATTTTAATACAAAATATTTTCGAAAGCTGCACCAATATTTCATTCGTCCTTTTTTCATCAAATTAAAAATTCATATAAAATATGCATTTAAAAAGTTGCGAATTTAATTGGGTCATTTTAAGTACAATAATCAAACCGCAATCTGCAAATTGTAAAAAATTCCAGACTCCAGAGAAAACTTTGCGAACATCGTCCGTAAAATACAATTTTACCGTAAAATTTTGCAGTATTATTTATTTAATTAGAGTGATTAAATGATTTTACTGTGATTATTACAGTTAAAATTAATGTTTATCAAATTTTTTGTACCTTGACATGTTTTAGTAAGCACCCTGAGTACCAGTACTTTTTACCGTTATTTAATACGCAATTTTTTACTTGTGTAGGAATGTTCTCCAAGTTTGTAAAAATCATAAATTGTATTTAATTATTATTTATGATTTTAAAAATTTTAAAGTAGTTTAATTTTTCCATAGAATATTTTTTAAAATATTGATTAAAGAATTGTTATTAAATTAAGTCTAATGATGTCATGCAAAAACTATAAATTGAATCAATTGAAAAATCAACCGTTAAACGATTAACAACCGTTAACCGTTAAACGAAAGACTTTTCAAAATAGGATGAGATTTTGAGCGGACTTCAAAAGCTCATGATGCGGAAGTAATTCATTATTATATAAAAGCCATATATTTTTATTATTTATAATTGGATTTCTATTTTTTAAAATTATTTCGGGTACTCTGAATATTTAAATTTGTATCTTTCAATAATGCATTTGTTTTACAAAATTTTATTGCATTGCATTTCGTTTTTTAGAATTATATTAAATTGCATTTTGTTTTTTCCAATCTTCAATACTAACAAATACTTACTTCATCAAAGTATCGTATTTCAGCTCTTTATCAGCAACCAGTATAGCCCCATAATACAAAACAGCAGAGTAAGAAAGAGGATTTAGCGCTTGGGCAAAACCATAAATGAATCCTCTTAAGTGGGCCATATTCCGAGAGTTTCTAAGAAATGAGCAGTAGTTAGATGATCATCCATCTTATTGAAAAATAAGCAATTAAAACTCCTTATTGTTTCTTAACTAAAAATGGATAAATTAAAATTTTATTTCTGTATAACTAACTTATAGTTTTGCATCAAACTAAAAAAGGCTATTTAAGCCAATATTTCGTTATGATACTCTGTAGCAAGTTAAGAATGAATGCCAAGTGTATGCTACGTTGCCACCGGGAAAGTATATCTTCATCGCCAACTCTTGAAACGACGTTGCATACTCTATCTTTTTGCTTGTTTTCTTAAATCGTGTGAAATGAAGAGAATAAAACTTACTGAATAAGAATTATTGTTTTGTTAATAAGAACTAATAAATAAAAATGATATCTAAAATTTGAGACAAATATACGTCTTTCTTTTTGCATTTAAAGAAACTAATGGAAGAATAATACATATTGTTTCTAGCAGACGATCTTCTTCTACAGCAAATCATTTCTTTATCTCGCATTTGATTTATGAAGAGTATGCCAGCATAAAACTAACCGTTTTTAGTGGTTTAATCGAATCCAATACTTTTGCAACGTTATATAATTGTTTCTTTTTCAAGAAGGAATGTTCTCCTTATTTATTGAAATATATCGCCAAGTCTAGAATTTCTGTAAGATTACTAAACTATAAACCTTTTTAAATAATTTTATGATATCTATCGTAAAAGATAGCACGAATTATTCTGTCCGACGAGTTTAACTTTAAAAAGCTTTTATATTGTTTTGAAAGCATATTTATATAATTTAATAACTAAATTAAACGACACTAAATGCAGTCGCGGATGAGTATTTAAATCAGGGTTGGCAAACTCGCGGTCCGCGGGCCGCATGCAGCCCGAGATGAACATTTTTGTGTCCCAGTCAATATATCCGACGCAAAGTAAAAATAAATTAGAAATGTGAATTAGAAAGGAAACTAGCATATGAAATTATAATATACTTTATTTATAAACTATACGGATCATTTTAAATTGTACGCGCGAAAATGTAAAATTCTAATTGGCTTGCGGCACCTGCCATTCCAGGGATACTGCATCGTATCAAAAATACGCAGAAAAAATTTCAAATCTTAGAACAGAATTTGAAACAAGGTTTAAAGATTTTAATTCTTTGGAAGACAAATTTTGTTTGTTTTCTTCGATTTTCTCAATAAATATAGACTCAGTACCCAGTAATATGCAAATGGAAGTGATTGAGATTCAGTGCGACTCAAATTTGAAGGCAAAATTCATTGAAGTGGGTGTGCCTGAATTTTACAAATATTTACCGGCAAGGTTTGAAAATACTCGAAAATTCGCATATGAAATTATTTCCATGTTTGGAAGTACTTATCAGTGCGAGCAATTATTTTCTGTTATGAATGGAAATAAATCTCCTGTCCGAAACCGTATTAATAACGCTCACGTTGGGTCAATTTTGAAAGTAGTCTCGGCCAATAAAATTTCTCCCGAAATAGGAAAGATAGTAGCAGAGAAGAGATGTCAAGTATCAAACAATAATTTAACTTTATATATGTTTATTACAATGTGCTTCAAAATAAAAATATTTGTTTCTATGAACATTGATTTATTTTTTGCAGTCCACCTAAAGTTAAGCATTGTTTATTTGGCCCAAGTTAACTTTTGAGTTTGACACCCCTGATTTAAATCTTATTCCTGTCTTTTCTAAACTTGCAATAGTTAAGCTCCTTATTAGATTGTTAAGAAGTTCCGCAAGGACAATGCAGCATCCCTTGCTGAAAGATCTCGTTTATAGCAATAACGAATCAAAATCCGTTTGGAGCTCATTGAGGAAAGTTTAGACTAAGAACACTAAAAAACAGCAGCACAAAACTCATAAAAGTTGAAATTTTCGCAAGTGTTGCAGAACTTTTTTTAACAACCTGATAAGTTCAGCCAAGTAAATAATTTTTTTTCCAGTTTGCTTTAATTGTTTTTTTTTTACTTACTTAAACTGATATATTTTCTTTTTGCGTATAATTTATTTTTTAAAATTATTTAAACAATAATGGCTATATCATAAATTGCGCAAATGAGTTGCTTTGATAATGTTTTTGGAAAAAAATGAAACAAATTATGAAGATATTAACGTGAATATTAAAAGGATTTATACACTTCTAAATTTAAGACATTCGAACATTTTAAAAAAATGTTCAAAGCAGGGAAAAAAAAATTTAAAATTACAAATTCAAAAAATAACGTTAATTTTTTTTAATAATTTATCAACAAAATATACAGTAGAATCAAATAAAATAAAATCATTAAATTCGTTCCTGATATATTTGATGAATTTTAATTTCTAATATGTAGAAATAAATTTAATCTTATCAAATGAAATGCAATCCATTAATTCAGTTTTATTTCGAATTTGAATTAACCTTGGCTTAAAGCAGGGGTCTGTCCAGACATTTTGTGAAAGGTTCGTTTTTTGAAAATTGTGAAAAAATTATTCGTAATTTGTGAATATAAAATAAACGTTAAGTCACATTCTTTAAACCAGGGTCCGCCTTTGTGAATTTGTGCAAATAAAGTCCGTTATTGCAAAAAAAAATTNAAAAAAAAAAAATAAATAAAAAATATTTAAGAAGTTTTTAAATTGTAAAGACATTCAAGATTATGCTCAACACTGTAAAATTATAATTAAAAAAAACAAATTTAAAAAAATAAACAGCAATTGTAGCTACTAAATTAGAGATGCAACATATAAATATTTGGTATTTAGCCTATACTGCTGAACGCAAAATATTCATTTCGGATGAATAAAGGAAGATGCATCTGCGGAAGACAAAAAAAATTTAGTTCGTTCACATCTGTCTTTCTCCCCCCCCCGGGGGGAAGGGTTTATTCGATTAACAAAACAATATTGAAGATAAACAAATTTGTGAAGGGTCTGATTAAAAGATAAATTATTTTGCGAAGGGTCCTTTTTTAAGTTAAAATATTTTGTGAAGGGTCCGTTAACGGACCCAAATTTCTTCTATACAGACCACTGCTTAAAGGCACTCTTTAGGCATTTTATTATTACTAGGCAGTTATTATAGTCATTATTAATGAATGATCAAGAAATTTTTTATTAACATTGATAGTGAATTATAAATACTATTAAATTTAATTATTTCATTAATTATTATGAATAGTTTAAAATTTAACAAGGTAATGAAATATTATAATGTTAAGAAATGAATTTTTTAAGACATACCTTGGAAGTAAAATATAATTTCCTTATTCAAAGTGGTCTTGGTGTTAAATAGGACTTACGGTATTAACTAGGTCTTGGGTTTACGGTACGGTTCTAGGTACGGTTTTAACTATTTCAAACACTTATTATAATATACTTAGGATCTCAGTATAATACACTCATTATAATATATTATAATCTAAACTAACTTGAGAGGTTTCAATAAAGCATTGTGGAACTGCAGGTAGAAGTTTTTTTCTTGATGCAGAGATGCAACAGTACGTATGCTTTCTATTGCTTCTATTGCTACCTGCATGAAAAGACAATTATTAAATATTGAAGTGATGCCTCTAAAAACATTTGGAACAATAGATGCGTCTTTATACTTGCTTTGTTTTAAAGGTATTACCAGGTAGTTATTTTTTTCGCATAAGGGGCCTTCCACAAATCATGCTGCGCTTGTAGGGGAGTTAGAGGAGATTCATGAAATAGAAATAAGTAGGAGCGAGCGAGTGTGACAATACAAATTTTGGTTCAGAATAAAAAAATTTAGTGTCGACAGATCAAACACTTTTGTATTACTTATTTTGACAGTTTTTCATTTTTTAAAATAAAAAAAAATCGTCAAATTATTATTTATATGCTCACAAATGCCATTAAAACATATAGTTAATGCTTCAAAATAAAATTTTAATCATAATTTGTACCATAGTGCTTTGTTTCCTGCAATGTCAGCATGTGTCTATGCAATATATTTTATTTTATAACCGGCGATGAACAGCCGACTCAGTTTTCGGGCTTACGACTATTAATGTTTAAGTCAATAGCCTTGTAATTTTGAACGTAATTCAGAAGACAAGGGAACTCCCGGATCAAGTATTGGCTGAAATTTGCCTTCGTGAAGGACTTTTTGATGGAACTAATCCGCATTTGCATTACATGGAGAAAAAAGCCACGAAAGCCTCCCACGGTTAACCTGACTGCAAGAAGCCATGATCTGTCTACCACAGAGGATATGTTACGTAGACACTGTGGTCGATACGAGTCGGGTGCAAAAATTGAATCGACCAGTCATGGCTGGGATTGAAACCCGATTCACCTAATTGGAAGGCGAACGCTCTATCCTCCGAGCCACTACGGTTCGAATCTTGGAAGTGGCTTGTAGAAACGAGTTCTGCTCCCCGCTCGCATCGATCTCAGCGCCTTCATAAGAGATCCCCAGTCGTAGACGGATTATGAGTTAGAATCCCAATGCCGTAGGCCTAAGCTTTGGATGTTTTCGTGGTTTTCCTCTCCATCTAACGCAAATACGGGTTAGTTCAACCAAGAAGACCTCCATAAATGCTAGTTTGTACTAAAGTTTGATACGGGATCCCCATGTCTTCTGAATAGGGCTCAAAATTACAGGGCTACGGAGTTGTATATTGTTATGGTCGTAAACTCAGAATTGGGTCGACTATTCAAAGTCAGCTATAAATAAATAAATATATAGAGGGAAAGGTGTAAATATGGGCACCCTCTTTTATTTTTTTTGATAAAGTTACTTTCAATTAGAAAATTTCTAGATTTTTATCTTTCATTAACAACTGTAACAAGTTTCCTAAATGCGAGAAGGCAAAGCAATGATTAACATCAATTATTTCATTTCAAAAATGACGATTTTCAAAAATCTTTTAAAAAGGCACCAGAAAAAATGGGGTGTAAATATGGGCCCTCTTCAAAAAAGTCACCAAAAATAGTTTAAAAAAAGGATAAAACAATACAAAATGGTAAAGAATTTATTTATTACAGAAATTTTTTTTTTTTTACAGAAATTCGCAAACGTAACTAGCTGTTTCAGTCCCGGCACAGTGCCCACATTTGGCGCATAACACATCTCACCCACTCTTCAGAGAACTTTCCATCACAAAAACTGCAAGTTGCATCGCTTGAGTCTGGTTTATCCCCACCGTTGACATTTATTAGATTGGTATCATCATCGCTGTAGATAAGGGGAGGGTGATCGTAGTCTGATGAGTTCGATGATGAATCTTATCGTTGCGTGGACCGAATTTTCTTTTTTAGAAGGCCTTTCGTCTTCCCACCCTGCCCCCTGGCCGGTCTTTTACCCCGGGAAAACTCAAGGACGTCTTCTTGAGAGCACTTTTGTCAAGCGTCTTGGTCAATTGATCCTTGTATGGTAATCCGGTGATGAGGCTGGACCTTGCTGCTTTGCGTCCACGAGTAGTGGTTCTCTTCTTAATGTTGGGAACAGGACATATGTCAAAAGGAGAAAATGCACTTGAAGTTCCCGGGGAACATTGAGGTATTTCAGCTGCCTTATCAATTGGCATAACTAGAGCCTGATGTGCTAAACTCCACTAAAAAAAGTTGGTGTAATTATGGGCACCCTTTAAATGGGGGCCCATATTTACACCAACCCCACCTAAGAAGGATGGCCACTATCACAAGTAACCTAAAAGCGTGCGTGACTAAAGGTGTGCTTCAAAAAANATATTACGAATTTATTTGACAATTTTTGATTTATATCACGAATTATACTATAGCACATTTCTGATTAGTTTAACGAATTACATGTCATTTATTTGAATTCAAATTTATTTTAATGACTTAGCATTTACTAAAAAGATGTAATTTGTTTTTTAAAAAAAAGTTGTTATATGGATTTGAATGATTGTTTTAAATTCTTAGAACTTTGTGCATTTGCAATGTACCTAAGTTAGTAGCGAGCGAAGCGAGCTTGGTTTGCGAAGCAAACCATATAACATTGCGTAGCAATTTTCGGGGGTTGGAGAGCGTAAGCGAGCAAGGGGCGCAGCCCACTAGTTTTTAAAAATCTACTTCTTATTTTAATTTGTAATTCAATACTTTTGTTTTGCACAACTTGGTAAAACTCTGACAGTAATATTTAATGTTTCTTCAAACAAAAAAAGAGTCCTACAAAAAATTTTGATAAAGTTGCGGCCCGCCATTTGATTTGTGCTTTTAATTGAGGGCCCCGGCCTCATGTAAGTTGGAAACCCCTGAGCTATATCAACAAGTGTTAGCACAGATTTGAATGGGAACAGCTTTAAGAGCAGCAGTTACTTGAATTGATGTATGTTGCGTGCTTTTGATGAAATATTAAAAAGCACAAAGACTTTACATCATGTAAGTACAACATTTAAAAAAACACACACACACAGTTTATTTACCTTCGATGCATCTTCCGCTCCAGTGTTTTCACTTGTCAGTTGACCAGACAATACTAATGAATCAAAATAAGCTCCCAAAAAGACGAAGGGCATGAAAGCCAATGTTACACCACCAAGTCTCAGATCATACCACAATGCGAGAACTACTCCAAATACAAAGGTTGAAAGAGCTTGAAATAAAGTGGACATTCTTGAACCGGTGGCCTAAATTGTTCCCATTAAAAAATAAAAGAAAATAAATATTTTTAAAAATAACATAGAAACAGGTAATAACAGAATAAGCGTTCTAAACGTCTTAGACATCCTTCTGCTCCTTAATTTCTCTATTTGTAAAATAAACGCAAATTTTGGGGAAAAAATGTTTTATGTAAAGCGCCCAACACGTAAATTTTATGTAATAATGACGAAACGAATTTATCATTAAGATAATTGGTTAAAAAAATCCTTCACATATCTTGCGTAATGTAATCGAAATGGATATTACTAACAACTTTTCGGTAGGATGCGGTATATTTTACGTATTATAGACTAAGTAAATTTACCATTTAAATTGGGTAAGTATTCTTCTGTAAATTTTACCTATCATTAACGAAAAATAAGTTTACCATTTTAATTTCGGGGAGAAAACTTTCGTATATTTTACGCATTGGTGTATATTTTTGAAAAAAGACTATATCATTCATAAAAAATGGTATGGAAGTTCACAATTCAATTTCGGTAAGGGTGCTTTATATTTTACCAATTTTAACTAGAGAAAATTCACCCTACGATTCTAATAACAGTAATAAAGCTATTTACATGTATTTTACTTAAAATTATTACTCAACACTATTGCATAAATGTATTGCGTAACATAATTATGTTGTTAAAAGAAATTTCTATATAAAATGTTTCGACTGAGAAGCGCTCCATCAGTACGAAAGAAAAGAAAAAAAAATCTTGATATTTAATAACTTGATTTAACAATTTAATACGGATGTCAATAATTTTTATTGTGTGGTACTTTTCCAACTGGCTTTGTTCAGGAAAAAAGCTTTAAACCCGATTTTAGTGAAAAACATTGCAATTTCAAAGTAGGCAAAACTAATTTTTCTTTGTATTGTGTTGTTATCTATAAGAAATCCCAGGAAATTCTTAATTATTAATTAGGAAATAAAACTGAAGAACAATTATAAGTAGACAAATCACTCTTTTGAAAAATCTGCGTCACTATATTTTTCCTATAACTATTATAAGGAACATTATTATAAAAAAGTGTTTAATAAACTATAAGAAAAAATATTTTCTGTATTTAAATTTATATAAATTATTAGTAACAAAATTTATTAGTAACAAATGTATATAAATTTATTAGTTACAAAATTTATTAGTAGCAAAATTATCAATTGTCATTATATAATTAGTGATTTGTAACTAATTGTCATTGTTGAACATCAAAAAATATAGAAAATGATTAAAAGAAACTTATCTTCCTAGGAGAAGAAAAGCGAAATAGAGATAGATAAAATAATAAAGCAATAAACAATTTATTTAATAACTTAAAATATTTTTACCCCTTGAACTTGTGAAGCATCGGATGTCAGGCGAGAGCAAAGAGCACCAACACTGTTCTTAGAGTCGTCGAAAAAACTCATATCCTATTAAAAACAACTTCTTAAAAAAATACTATATTTAAATTGAAATCATAATGTAATATATTATATAATATAATATATCATAATATAATATAATATATAATAATAACTACGAACTTGTGTAATTAAGTTGGCAAACACCATTTTTCTCAGCCTTGAAGTTAATTTTTCTCCAGCTACAGAAAACATAAATGCCTAAAAATAAGTAATGCGGAAGGATTTAGTACATAAAAAAGCTAAAACAAACGCTAGCTATTTAAAAAAAACTAATAGAGTAATCAAACAATCGAGTTATTATTCCTTGCTATACACCAGGGGTGGCGAACCTTTATACACCAACGTGCCATTTTTTTCTAAAAAATTGTTTAATGAAATCACAGACGTGCCGTCAAATAATTTTGACCTCATGATTATTGGGAAAATTGTAATACTAAATACTATCAACTTAAAACTCTTTATTTACATTGAAAAGAAAATACATTTTGCAATGTCTCAGTTATACGCGTAATTCAACTTAAAGTAGCATCAGTTGGGCTTCTGTTATTGCAGATTAAATGACAAATAACTTATATTAGGTTGTAAGATATTAGTTTAAACAGGACTGTTGATTATTTTCCTAGTTATTTATTGTTAGCTTGTTTTTTATGGTTATTAATTGTTCTTTTAGCATTAATTGTTAATTTTTCTACTAATTGTTTATTATTTTGTTTGTTTTTGTGAATTGTAATTTAATTGTTACATATGCTTCATAGTGTGTGACATTTGTGTAATAACAATTCATAGTGCAATAACAATTGTGATCGGTGGCGCGCCCGAAATATTGTGTCACGTGCATTAAATGGCACGCGTGCCATCGGTTCGCCATCCCTGCTATACACGAATAACACTAAAGATGTTTTGAATAATAATTTTTTGTCTTTTTATAACCGCTGTAGAACAACTGACCCAATTTTGAGTTTACGACTACCAATGTTCAACTCTGTAGCCGTGTAGTTTTGAACCCAACCAATTGGGAGAAATTTGCTTTTGTGGAGGACTTTTTGATGGAACTAACCCACATTTGTGTTACTTGGAGAGGAAAACCGCGAAAACCTTCCATGGTTAGCCTGACGACAAAGGGATTCTAACTCATGATCCGTCTACCACTGAGGATATCTTGCGTCAGCACTGTAGTCGATGCGAGTGGAATTCATGCCGACCAGTCATCGCTAATATTCAAATCCGGTTCAGCCCATTGGGAGGCTTGTGCTCTAACTTAACAGATTAGCTCTAACCTTGTGCTCTAGCTAACAAAACCATTCCCGACAGCATGCGTCCTCTGACAAAACTTGTTGTAACTAAAGCCTTGGATACGCAGATTAAGTAGCGACTCGATTTTGGTGACTGCAACTATCTTAAGACCGCAACGTTCAATGTATAAATACGGAGTTTCTATTCTTAAACGGCACACGTTATTGATTGATATTTTCACATTCTTGAGGAAACCTAAATCTTTACTATTTATTCTTTCAATTCTTTTTTTCCTTCTGAAATATGTTTTATTTTTATTCCATTCAGTGAAAAAAAATACCTTATCTACAGATTAAAATTTAATCTTTTTTTTTTATAATCTGCTATAACATTGTTTCTCAATGGTGGCGATACCACCCCCCTGGGGGCATTAGGAGTATGCTGAGGGGCAGTGAACTTGTTTTGGGGGATAGGGGGGCGTTGGGTATGTTTTGGGCTGCAGGGGGGTGATGAGCATGTTTTGTCCTTCAAATTTAATTTTAAAACTTACAAATAAACTTATTAAATTAAATTTATTTAATAAATAAAATTAATCTAAAATTAATATTAAATAAAAATAAAGATTAAATTAATATAATAAATTAAGATTATCCGATACACCTTTTGTGCCACTAATGAAACGAACTTATACGTCACCTTTTCTCCGATCCGAACCAACACAGCGAAGTGCATGAGTCAGTAGTTTTTGCCTCTGATTCATTCACGCTATTTCGCGAATGGCTCTGACTCATTCAAGCCATTTGGCGGAAATCGAAGTGCATGAGTTTTCGGTATGAATGTCTGATTTGACCCGTGTTTCTTATGATGATTTTCGTTACCTTCCTTACTGTTTTTCTCCAATTTCGATTCGATCTCATTGTTTATTTGGCCAGGTATATGCGCAAATTAGTTCTTTACCATAAATTATTTATTAATTTGGAGAAATAGTTGATTTTCCTTCATCGTTTGTATTTTACTGCCACCAACAATGTCGCTTAACAAAAAGAAGTATCATCAATACTGTGCCACGTACTTGAAATTTGGATTTGCTCAATCGCTGTTGAACTCTCAACAGCCCATGTGTTTACTTTGTAACAAAGTTTTATCTAATGAGGCAATGAAATCTTTCCGTTAGCAGGAGCATTTGCAAAAAACTCATCCCGACAAACAAAATAAAGATTTGTCATTTTTTACGAACATCAAAGACAAGTTTCTGAAGGCACCTTGAGTCTTAGGGTTGCTAGCAACCTCATTACAAAATTGCGACGATGGTTTGATACCTTCTTATAATATATCAAAATTTATTGCTAATTCAGGGAAAGCTCATACCATCGACGCAGAGTTGATACTGCCGGTTGTCAAGGAAGTTTTAGAAACAGTTTTACACCATCCAGCCACATCCAATGTAATAAAAAAATATCCCATTAAGCAACGATACAGTGCTGGTTACGAAATGGTGAGATGACTTAAAACGTTGAAGTTTCTTTACGCAAACTTTTGATATCTAACAAATTTTCCCCTTCAAGATTGTGAATCAACCTTGCTATGCAATGTAGGCTTTACTGTAGGCGTAAGTCCGGTTTGCAAAGGTAGGAAAAAGTAGTCAAGAGATACTTTTTGCAAGAAGCTGGATTGTAGTGTGGCGTAACTACCACTACAAAAGTTGAACAACATTCACTAGTATATAAAGCATGCTAACTTGATTCTATCATGAGGTACCTTTTGATAGATGACGGTTGGCATGGTCGATAACTACTCTCCCCACGTTGGTGACCTTTGGACGTGATTTGATCACGCAAGTAACGCCCACTTCGCAATCTCTTAACGGATACGCCTACTTCGATGGATAGTCCTCATTGAACGGTTGACTTGCTATTTGTGAATGCATTATACATCTCCTGCGCTGTTACTTCTCAGTCTCGTCTCTAACACACAGCGTCTACACTCTCAACGCCTGCATACTCTCGACTGCTAATGGCAACACAGGATCGACTTCTACTGTGATGTTAATACACCTCTCACATTCAGCACTCAAAAAAATTCCGGTGACTCTCTCCCGGTCTTTCACAAGTACAGCAACTAGTGAGATCTGTTCATCGAATTATATCTCTGATAAAATTCTGGTNTTCATAGATGAAAGTTGACATTGTCTGTAACTACTCTCCCCACAGTAGATACCAAAGGTAAATTTGGGAGAATTTTATATTTTTATTTATCTATTTTTAATACTGTCCGAGATTATTTTACAGAGAAAAACATTCCTCTTGCGAATATTATATCGATCGCGCCACTGATGGAGCTCCTGCACGGGTGGGTCGACATCGTGGGCTTATCGCCCTTTTGTAAAGAGAAATACCAGATATTTTAGCTGTTCACTGCGTGATTCACAGACAGCATTTAGTTGCTTTAGTTGAAACCGCTTGCATCAGTTATTGCAATATGTCATTTGCTGTGAACAAAATTCACAGTAATGCTCTGAACGATTGATTATTCAGACAGCTGTGTATGATGAAGAATTCAATCGCTTGCTGCTGCACACCGGGATTCTCTGACTTTCCAAAGGCGCCTGTCTTAATAGGTTTTTTAATCTTTTCGACTCTGTGCTTGAGTTCCTCTAAAACAGAGATGTAGCTCTGAGAGACAGATTGCTAGAAGAAAAATTTTGGCTGATTCATTTGTAAAACTTAACGGCATTAATTTAAAACTTCAAGTTGACGAGCTCAATTTGATCCCTACAAAATCAGGCATTTCTGCCTTTCTGAAAAAAAAACTCATTTTGTGGAAGCAGAATTTTGGTTGGAATGAGTTCAGCCAAGCAGGTGAAATCCGCTCTGATGATGCACAAGAATATTGTCAACACCTAGATTCTTTACGCGTGGACTTTTCTGACCGTTTTAAAGATGTTTTGTTCTCTGGAAGTCCCTCAATGGGTTATTGGGTTATAAACCCTTTTGTGAATATTGAAACAGCAGAGGTTCAGATTTATGAGGAATTGGGTGAACTTTCAACTAAGGAAACTCTGAAGTGGTGATCGTCTCACAGAATTTTAGCTTCAAGGCAACATCAGTCGCTTCTACCCTGGACTGCGGACTATCGTTAAAAAAATTTAAATGTCTTCCCCTCCACCTGCCTTGTCGAACGTGGATTCAGTGCTGTTACGGATATCGTCACAAAAAAGGAGAAATCAACTCAAAATTGTGCAAAGAGGGGACTTGCGTGTTCACCTCACTAAAAGTACTGAACCTAACGTTAAGAAACTAATGTCTCGTTGATACTACTTTTTAGTGTAAAAAAATTATTTTGAGTGTTTTTTTTTAATTATCTAATTAAGAAAAAATGATTGATTTAAGCATAGGTTTTTTTTGTTGTATTTTTTTCATTACCGTATTTATTTTAATTATAACAAATAGACTGCGATTACCTGCCGTGAGAAAAGTATCGAGTTTATGTACACATGATTTTTGTAAAAACCAAACAAATTTAACTTTTAATAAATTGCTTAATGCTGCCTCTTAAAATTCAGCACACCTCGCTCCGTCACCATGTTCTAAATAACTGGATTTTTACAAAGGGGGGCGTTGAAATGTTTTTTGCTCCTTAAGGGGGCGGTGACGCTAAAAAGGTTGAGAATCTATGTGCTATAACTTTCTCTTGCGAACGGTTCGAAATTTTTTGCAGTCGATTTTTTTAATACTAAATACGATTTACTACAAAATTATAAAAAAAAGTTTTTTAATTTTTTTCCGCGCACGTGCAGAATGAAAAAAAAAACTACGTTAATCACTTATAAATTGCACAGTTTTCGACAAATGTTTTACAAATTTTAAAGCTAATATTTTGTAATTAATTTTAAACTGTTCTAAAAATTATGATTAATTTTATTGAATATTTTTAAAGTTATAACAAAAAAACGTAAGACGAAAAAAAATTGTTTTTTATTGAATGTCCACATCTCCATAAATATTTAAGCTAGGCTTACGAAATTTTGTACAATTATTGCATTTAATAACTAAAGTAATTGTGTCAAGTTACAAACTTATTGTTACATTTTTTGACATAGGGTGTTTCAAAGCACTATTTTCCGTTTCTATTCTATTGTTGGTCCCTCAAACCTTTAAACTTCTTCGTTAAGTATGAAAAATCGCATGAAGCTATCTAATGCTTCTTTAAGTATTTCTCCAGAAATATGAAAAATGTATTAGTATATAGAAGTGTTTCCATTATTTTGTTCACGCCTGTACGTAGCCTCAGCCATTTCTCGTGTCGTGCAAGTGCCATCAGACAGTAAGTATTTGACAAAACACTTAATCGGAGACACTGTATTGTAACGCTTAATTGGAGATTGTAAACATATTATATTCATAATGAGTGAAAATTCAATAAAATTCCTTTCAAGTATGAGCATTCTGTTACACATGCATATAGCATTCTATGGATCAATGCTCGTATGTATGAAATAAATTTATACTAAATTGGTGTACTAAATAGGGTTGAACCAAAAATATATAAAAATATTTCTTAGCTATACAATCAGCACAGATAAATTCAATGTATTTTTTTCATAAAATAATATATTTAAGATATAATAACGTAAATGATAATAATATTGCTGTAAAATATTGCAGTGAAATATAAAGATTATGCTTTAACATATTAAAAAATGCAAATCTGATATATTTACCTGAAGGAAAGAGAACACGAAAGATGTAAACCCCAGCAATAAAAAGATGAGACACCAAAAGTTAGCTTCATCAGTAATTTGATCAAGCGGTTTTGATAAAACCTATTCAAAAATTAAAAGCATAGTAATAATTGTATTTCGTGGAAGTTATAATTTCGATACATTAAAAAATCGTAAGATCCGCTTCCTCTTCAGCAGCCGCTGTTTTGAGTACTTAAATTGATAATACATTTTTGCTTGCTGCGCAAAAACAATGAAAAAATAACGAAAGTGCATAAAAAAAATGAAGGAAATCAGTTAAAAATCAATCAACTCTGAAGAAAAAAAGAAGACAAAAATGAATGTGAAGCAACCTCGGAGTTCAGTGAATGGAGCGAAGAGGGGGTCAGTCCTCCTAGTCTTACTATTAACTTCATGTAGTACACTACTAATTTAAAAGCTAAGAGAGTTGCGAGTAAACAAATCCATATTACCTTAAAATATCTTTTAAGATTATTCAAAACATAAATAAAAATTTATATTTTTTTATATTCCGGATAAAGTGTGTCCCTCTTAAAGACATCTTGATTTTGTACTATAACAGGACACAAAAGAAGCCAGTGAGAGCCGAAATCTCATTGGTTTTAAAAAGTCTATATCAAAAGACATAGTTACAAGGTGTAGCTCACTTCCTGATTCTTTTGCAAAAAAGGATCAAACAATATGCCCCGTTGAAATAAGGCCACTTCTGACGATAACCAAAATATCCACCACATTTTTATATGGTTCGAAATATGTGATGTTGCATACCATTTACTATTTCAAGGAGGACAATTACATCAGTATTATGTCAAGTTTTAATGATGACAGTGTTCGATTCTGCCACAGTTTGACACTGATGTTTTTTTTGTATATACAACCTCACATACCCCTTACGTTTTCTTGGAGATTAAAATCGTGAGATAGGGTAGACTACTCACAACATTCTCCCTATTATCTAAAAACAAACAATTTGAAGATGATGTAAAGTAAAAGAAAGCATTCTTTGGAAAATTCGACTTGGGTATGCAGTTTTCCTTGTGTATGCAGTTAGTAAATGAGCTTCCAAAATTTTCGGGTTTTCGGTAGTCTTTATACAGCCTGAGGGAGATGTTAGGTTAAGTTTCTCACCATATCTAAAGCCTTCTCACGCAATTATTGAGCCTCTACATTGCTGTATAATAGAAAAGAAATATTTTTCCCTCTTTCAAACCACGGTAATAGCACATAAAATTGCCTGGGTCATTTTAATTCTTTTGGTTTCTACTTTCTTTTGCTGTGAATAGCTTTTAACAGGGGAAACTGCCAATTTTTTACACATTTCAAATTTCTTGTAGCATACATAAAATGTAACAATCGAGGAGAAAAAAAGAGGAATCTTCTGCGAAGGGAAAACAATGTAAAGACTCGTACATACCATGAGAGCGCTTCAGCTTCAGTGGTAAATTTAACAGGATCGTTCCCTCAAACCGCGTGGGAGCTACCGATAGCTAAGAAAGGGCTAGAAGTTCATTTACTAGTATTTGAAGAGAGATTTCTGGACCCAAGTCATATTTCCCAGAAATCAACGTCTTCATTTTCACTTCAAAATCTTCAAAGTACTGGTTTTTATAAAATATTGTGCATCAAGTCATTAATGGCTTGCCCTTTATTTATTACCCCTCGGTAGAAAAATCCTCGGTAAGGATTTAGATTGTTATCCTCGGTAAGGAAACAAAAACAAAACGATTTTGGCAGAATTAAAACATGTCATGATTGAAACTAATTTAAATCATAATCAGAAGTGGCTTTACTTCAATCGGATTCCCTTTTTTCACTTATTCAATGTTTTTTTTTCTGTACAGGTGGGTATGGAAGTGATTTATTCCTTGTGAATATGTATTTAGACTATTTTAGTACATATGTTTGGTTCTCATTGGTTTTCTTTGCGGTCAATTATAGTATTTAACCAAGGTGGATTTTCTTAGATGGGATGCATTGTAGGAATAAAAATGCTTTGAAATAAAGGAAGAATGAAATCAAGTTTCGTGTTTTAGTAATGTGTGAACTGTGAAGCCTGCATTTAGAGATCTCCTAAAATTAAAATATTTATATTAAAGGCAAACGTTAAAGAGAAACACTAAGAGATTTGTGATTTGCTTATTTTTGATGACAAAGAGAGGGATTTTTCAATCGCCAAAATTATGCTTACGTAATGTTTATTGTTGTTGACATAAGCCTGTTTAGGCAGAGGGGGTGTGATTGTTCTTGTTTTCCAGTGGCGCCATCTATGGCCAAGAATTCGTCTCCTGCCACACCATACGTCACACCCGTTTACAAGGCGGACCCATTCATGCATCCATTCCTTCCTCCACAGATCGTAATTTTGACCTGAATCAGAGAACGATCGATCTCCAATCCAGTACCTACAGAGGTATTGATTTGTTATGAGAAATGGGAGGACTTTTGCGACTCGATAGATTTAACGCGTATCAGTCACTTTACTACACGGGGAGTTTTCGACCGGCGGGGTTCGAACCCACGAACTCACGGACATGGGCCCAGTACGTAATGTTTAAATGGCCGTTAATAAAGAATTTTAATTTTTGCTATGAAGACTGCAAAGATAATTATTTTTTTAGTAATTTTCTACAAAAGAGCAATCAGAATATTTTTTCTCTCCAAAATCAGTGTATTTCAGGGCATATTTTTATATCATTCAAAGAAGTTATAAAGATAATAATAATTCATACTTACTCCTAAAATAGATCCTAAAATGATACCGCCTGCGAGCATATGTAAACCCATTAATAGTGCGGCAATGCCTCCAATTAATGCATAAGGCCATTCAGGTGCAGAAATTTTAAGCAGTCGAGATTTAGACGGTGACACATTCTCATCTTCCTCTTCATCCAGTTTATTCTGAAATTATGTAATTTATCAAAATAATTAATTTTGCAAAGCGATACCAAAATGATTAAAATGCAATGTTCAAGATGTTTAACTTTGCATTTAAAAGTTACTTTTTTTAAAGATCATTTGCCATTTTGTGAACAAGCACCGCTATGCATATTGCTCACAATATTTTAAACGGTAACTACACATTATTTAAAAATCTTGTAGTTCACATTTAAAGGTTCTTGTTCATCCTGTTCTTTGCGAAACTTATAATTCATTCAAAATAAATAACACCGAAAAACAATACAAAAAACTTAACAATAAACTAACATATTATACTTGTACTGCAATCTAGAATAATTCTATACTTAAAATAACCTATAACCTATTATATATTGCAATGAAGTTCATTATTCAGATAATTTATATTTAAATTTATTATTTGAAATTTAAAAACTCATTCAAATAAGTTACCATATAAAGCAAAATCCTTTGTTTGCACTGCAAATATTACGTACTATATTTCAATTAAGTAACTATGTCCTACATTTCTAATAATCTACCTTTCACCAGAATATCTTATATTACACAGCAAAATCATATATTTCGCTGTTATAATTTTTATATCTCACTGCAATTAATACATTATTTAGAGAACAATCTTCTAGTTCATTTAAAGGCTTCCTGTTCATCTGGTTCTTTTGGAAATTTAATAATTCATTCCAAATGAATAATTATATAAAACAATATAAGAAAAAATTATAAAAACTCTACATTTGCATTGCAATATACCATGACCCTATATTTCATTGCAATTCACAATTATACAAAAATCACATATCTCACTGTAGTGCATTATTCAGATAACAAATTTGTAGTTCTTATTTAAAGGTACTTGTTCTTCACGTTTTTTCTGAAATTTAATAATGTGAAAAGAATAACAATATAAAAAATACGAAATTAATAAACTACAAAAATCTTTTTCTGAAATAATTATCTTCTTTTTTAAAATAACTTTTTTTATTTCGTTAATAAGCATTATATTAATTTTTCTAACATCTTAAACACTGCAGTACATTTTGTAAATGAAATAAGTTCAATATTTTTCTGCAAACAATTTGTTATTGTTATGAATTAAAACAATTCCGTCAGCATTTTATAAAATCCCGTATTTACTCAATAGATTCGAAACATTATCTCCAAAATAATATTTCGTACTTGTTTATCAAATGGTCTTTTACAATGACCCTTTTTCTTTTAAGTATTCATATATTTTCCATTTACCACGTGTACTTATAGATACCAAAAAAAAAAAAAAATACTTTCTCCCACTTTAGTTTTAAAAAGTGCATTAAAAGCTGAATTTTAATACCTCAAGCTTACCATTTCAACGCTGTAATCAGATATTTGATGACTATAAGTTCGGACTACAGATAATTGGCGATCAATACCACTTGATGGTTGAGGTTTTGTGACGTTGGCAGAAGACAGGCATCTTTCCAAGCTGTTGTCTAATGCAATACTTAAGTTATTGACTTTGTCGTCGAGAAGCGATATTTCATCATTCGTTTCCTCCGTTTTCTCTTCTGTATTAATCTTGAAAAAGATATTTTAAATAGGAATTAAACATTAAAATATAGCACGCATTAACTGAATCATATAATTTTTTAATTCATTTTACCTGTGTAACAACCAACCGATAATAAAGACCTTTTCTTTTCATCAATTCTTCATGTGTTCCAGTTTCTTTTATGTATCCATCATCCAGAACAGCAATTTTATCTGCAGTTCTTATGGTAGAAAGTCTGTGAGCAATAACAATAGTTGTACGACCCTTACGAGCCTAAAATTAACATGTTTTAGTATTAAAATTCTTAAAATAATTGTTATAAGTTGATTGAAAATGTATGATTATGGATGTCTATAACTTGCATGGGATAACTAAATATCACAATCAAAAAGTTTAAAATTGTATATTTTACTAGTGGGCTGCGCCCCCTGCTCGCTAACGCTCGCCAACCCCCGAAAATTGCTACGCAATCTTATATGGTTTGCTTCGCGTACCAAGATCGCTTCGCTCGCTACTAACTTAGGTACATTGCAAATGCACACAATTCTAAGAATTCAAAACAATCATTCAAATCCATATAAANCTTAAAAATATTTAGTTCTTATTATAAAACTTATTATTTTCCTTAGGTTTTAATGGAAACATAATACTTAGATAATGATAAAGAGTTTTCACCAAAATGAATAAATAAAAATGAAACTTTTGTGTTCATAAATTATAATATGTTAAAAATAAAAGCAGTAAATCATATATCCCTAATTTTTAATGTACCTTGCCGCAGTAAAACTTTATTACTCTTATGAGGTCAATTCGGTGGAAACAGATAACTAGATTTAAATATTTTAAATTTTTTTTCACCAAAAACTAGAAAAAAAGCTATTTATAGAGCTAAACTTAATTTCTTTTTACTAAAGATTTTTTTAACGATTCTTTTAACGATTTTCTAAAAATTTTCCACTTTTAGAAGATATAATAATCTTTTCGTTACCTGATCTAGAGCAGCTTGAACTATAGCTTCACTCTCAGTATCCAATGCTGAAGTGGCTTCATCCAGTAATAGTATTTTAGGATTTTTGATCATGGCACGAGCTATAGCAATTCTTTGTTTCTGACCGCCACTCAGCTGAGTTCCACGTTCTCCCACAAGAGTATTGTATTTCTATTTAAAAATAATTACATATAAAAACATATATAGATTAAACGAAAAGCTGAATTGAGACAAGTAACTAATGGTAGGACTTACTAATGGTAAGGCATCAATGAAGTTATGCGCATTAGCAATTTTGGCAGCAGTCTCAATTTCTTCTTGCGTTGCATCTAGTTTACCATATTTAATATTTTCTGAAATTGTTGTCGAAAACAGGACAGGTTCTTGCCCAACGAGGCCTATATGATTTCTTAGCCAACCAACGTTCAGATCCTTAACATCAATACCATCTAGATGAACCTATGAAAGCGAATCTTATTATAGCTAAATAAATTAAGCTACATTAATAAACATAAATTATGATAATTTTTTTGGAAACTAAAAACCTACTTATACTCCTTTATTGAACAAAAAAGAGAAACACCAATAATAATAGTAATTAAATATTGAATCTAATTCTGTAGGTGTAAATCTCACCTTCTGAATGGCTACAATCACGCGTAACGCTGTGAAAAATTCTTAATCAAATTACGGTAAAAATTTAAGGAACATATAATTTTATAAACCGTGCGCGTGCTGTAAAATTTTCTGTAAAATCAATGAATCGCTCTAATTAAATAAATATTACTATAAAAATTTCGGAATAAAATGTTACGACGAAAATGGATTTTACGGTAAAATGGATTTTATGGCTGAGTCAATCAGAGTGCCAGTAGTTTTTACCGTTACTTGATCCTGAACATTTTAAAGTATGTACAGAGTTACGTTTCTCTGTATCTCTGCATACCATTTCTTCCTGTCTCAATGATTCAACTCGGTCAGATCTCATTTGGTTTCTGAAAGAAAATTCTAAGGAAAAATATAATAATTCGGAAGCTTCATTGAAGTTTTTTTACTCGTGATAGATAATTGTTGAAAAATATTTTCTTAGCTCTCTCACAAAAAATGTATAATTTGCTTAACTTTTCGAAAGCTAGCGCGCATTATAGAGTTCAACTTAGCTTACATTTACTACAGAAATTTTATTAATATTTTAGAAAACATTCCAAAACTCTTAATAGGAGTAAAACTAATTGAAACTCAACTAGTTTTTGAAGTTTCTTGTTTTAGTATAATAATAAATGTAAAAATTCTCACAAGAAATTAGTTCATAATATATTGGAGCTAGTTTTCATTTTACTGTAAAATTTTAAGAAATATTTAACAATAAATTTATGAACAATATGCGAATATTTATATTATATTAATTAAGTAGAAACATTGATTATAATATTTATTTCGAAATCCTACACAGAAAAGATATTTTACTTCGATAAACTTACACTTCCAGAATCAATATCATAAAATCTCAATATGAGTTGGATAATTGTACTCTTTCCGCAACCACTGCATCCCACTAACGCTACAGTCTCTCCAGAAGCAACCTCCAGAGTCATGTCCTTTAAAACCTTAAAATGTTTAAAAAATTTAGTTAGAAAAGACAAAAGAATATTTTATTCATTTTAAGAAATTTTATTAAATTTCTGAACATACTGTGACATCTTTTCTTGCAGGATAACTAAATGTCACATTGTTAAGACTAATAACACCATTCATGTAATCTGGTTTTAGACCTTCCTCAGAACTGCTATCAATAATCGGTTTCTGGAAAAAAATTCATGTTTTATTTCATATATTTATTTAAAGAGAAAGTAGTATTCGGAAAATTCAGAAACAATGAAAAATAGGTTGGCTATTAAATTTATCTCAAAAGAAAGAAAAGGATAATTTAGTATATAGAACATATTACAAATTGAAAGTTAACACATAATTTTACTTCTGATTCCCCGTTATTTTATGTTGTTCTGTTAACTACCTGAAAAGACTATCTAGACGTACTTTTTAAGAAAGTCTTAAACAATTTTTAATCACTGTTGATTCACTAATTCATAAGTGAATGATCTTTTAAACAGTGAATCACTTCTTCTCATAAAAAATTATGTTTTTATTTATATACTCAATACTTTCTTTTCAATTCTCGGACTAAAATCCATTATTTTAATCTATTATTTTAAAGAGTGTAAGAAAAAATAATTAGACACTTAAAATCTTTTGATCTGGAGACTGAATTTTCAGGTGCTAAGATATAAACTTAAAGCTTCAGGCTTAACTTCAAACATGCTTAGTAGATAAGCCTTACAATATTTTATCTAAAGAAGCCTTTCCCCAAAATTGCGTTTTCTTTAAATAAGCATGCATTTCTATTGGATTGACAAAAAATTTTAATTTTTAAGCTGTGGAACTATGGGCAGCAACTAGCAATCATTATCTAATATGTTCGTAAGTTTGTAGTAAATAATTATTTTTAATGTGGCCAAATAATGCTGATTTAACATAGTTTTAACTATTATTAATAACATTAAAAAAACTATTACCGTCTTACTCATCAAAATGTCTGTAAAGTATTGTCAGTTAAAAATTAGAAGAAACGTTCAAAATTCGTTCGGTTTATATACAAGAAATTGGTGTGAACGTGAATAAATACACGGCGAGATGGTGTTTTTTTAAACATTATAATCTACGCTAAAGTGTGAACAGTGACTACAAACGGAGGTGGTTCAATGAAGAAAGCAGCGCAACGATAAGAATCTTTAATCATTTAATGTACTTAATTTCAAAACATTTCCCGATTTCTCTTCCTAACGGGTATCCCAAAACTCTCGCAAGATTTTCCTTTTGCGCCAGTTTTGCAATAGGATGTTACCAACAGAAAAAAAGTGGAACAGCAAATCAATACTGTAACATAGTTTTCTGCTTAATTTTTTTATTTTTAAATTTCCTAGATTTATTCTAACAAACTTGCAATGACCCATGCCTTGAAAGAAGAAATTGAACGTTGTGTCAATGCTCACTTTACTCACTCTCTTCAATGATCTGTCACAGTAAATCTCGTCAAAAGTGTACGGAAATGCCAAAAGCATAGCAGGTATTCCCCCGATTTACTATTCAATACATAATTCTATACTGCATATCTTGACAGTAAATCTCGTCAAAAGCGTACGTAAATGCCAAAATCATAGCAGGTATTCCCCCGATTTACTATTCAATACATAATTCTATACTGCATATCTTGACAGTAAATNTTTCAGGACCACCACAATGGGTGAGATACCGTTGGTCATGTTAATTTGGACGTCTAGTTTCTGCTACACTAGATGGCAGCACCGAGACTCTATTTGGATGCTAAAGTGCACTAGGAATTTAATTTTGCCGGAAATGCCAAGAAGGCACTCCAAGGATCTTTTACATGCCGCATAATCCTACAACATGCCCACTGAGGATTTTCTGCATCCCGAAAATCCAGTGTCTGGGCCGGGGATCGAACCCGCAGACTTGGACTCAAAAGGTCGACGACAAACCAACTGCGCCACCCAGCCACACAATTAAAATCAAAATACTTATTAAGTGAATTTTAAGAGAGACTTTAAAGACGATATCTTATTGAATACTGAACACAAAATTTTTAGCTTGTCTGAAGTAGTTATATAGAATCATACCCTTTCAATAATGTTGAATATTTTAGCTGCAGCTCCTCTAGCTAGAGCAAAGGCTTCAAAATATGGCGCTGTCTGTCCAAAGAACATAGATGCTGTCAGGACACTAAAAAATATCTGTAAGAAATTGTTTCAATGAATAGATTTTCACTTCATATTAAAAGAAAGTAAGAGCCGCTGCCGTTCTGCGGAACTGTAATTTGAAGCGTTGCAAAAACCTGTTTTATTTGTGAATTCAACATGAGCAGCCTTTTCCAAAATGTCATTTTTTTTTCAAAATTAATTGAAATTTCAGGTGCTTTTTTTTCTCTCTATTTTTTTAAAAACATTTTTGCTTTGCATTACTTTAAGTTACATTTTGTTTTGTTGCATAAAAAATAGACTTGAAATTACATAAAAGTGTAAAAAATGTTCTAAAACGTCCATGAAAAATAAAATGAAATGTAATAATTATGACCACAGTAATTACAACTCCTCCATCGTATTCTGGGTTTTCTTCACCGTAACCTTCAATAATTAGTTGAAGACCATACCTAACACCATAACTTAACAATACTTACATGTACGTAATAACTTTTCAAAATTAGAGAGGATTAACAATACTTAACAGTAATTACAACTCCTCCATCATATTCGGGATTTTCTTGACCATAACCTTCAATAATTAGTTGAACACCATACCAAAAGGCAAGAGCGTATCCTCCAAATATGGAAAACCAATTCATGCTTGATCCAATTGCAGTCCACAGCCCCCTTTTGATTCCTTTTTGCATTGCAGGAATTAAGTGATTTTCATACCTGGATTAAACAAATAAATTGTAAGGCTATAGCAACATTATGCGTCATTATACATTGTTTGAGCTAATCAGTATTCAGATAGAAAATGTTGCCTAATTCCATCAAATGGTTAATGCGAAAGGGTACACACATCATTGCATGGAAAAAATCATTGGGAATAATAAATGCGATAAATATCTTAAATTAATAAAAAAAAATTATGTGCTTTATGTTTGTGTTTGTTAAAAAAATGACCTCATTGTTAAACTAATACAGTACATCAAATAGTTTGAGGATATTTAGGTGTATAAAATTGAGTATGCTTATGATAAGTAAAAATAATACACATTTTTTCGTCATTAAAAAAATGAACAAATGATTGTAATAAAGTAAAAGTTGAAAAATGTATATTAATGGTTTTGCCTAAATTATAGTAACTTCATTATTTTTAAGCCCATTAAGACATAATATATTGCGATGGTAGTTACAAACTATGTCAACCGTCATCTATGAAAAGGTACCTCAACATAGAGTCGAGTTAACATGTCTTATATACTAGTGAATTGTAGTTGTGATTTTGCAGTGGTAGATACGCTACAGTACTCCCCCACCAGAATTTTATCCGTGATAGAATTCAATACATGGATACCACTAGTTGATTCATCGCTGTTTTATGAGAAGCCGGGAGAGCTGTATTAAGATCACCGTACTTTTGAGTGCTGAATGTGAGAGGTGTATTAACTTCACGGTCGTGGTCACTCCTGTGTTGCCGTTAGCAGTCGAGTGAATGCAAGCCGACGTTGTGCGTGATCGAGACGAGACTGAGTAGCAACAGTGCGAGGAGGTGGATAATGTCGCAGTCACAAGTAGCAAGTCAGCTGTTCAATGTGGACCAACCATCGAAGTAGGCGTTTCCAGATCGAAAAGGGCGTTACTGCCAAGGTAGGCGTATTCATATCAAGTCCGAAGGTGACCAATGCGGGGAGTGCAGTTATCGACAATGTCAACCTTCATCTATGAAAAGATACCCCTACATAGAGTCGAGTTAACATGTCTTATATTCTAGTGAATTGTAGTTGTAATTTTGCAGTGGTAGATATACGCTACAGAGTTGACTTTTAGAGAAAAATGATAGCAAATGTATGCTTAAACCGAGTTAGCATTTCTTATTATTTGCTACTACCCTGAGATCAAAAAGGTACTTGAGCTTCGACTGTATACATTTTATTATACATTTTATAATTCATTTATTATGCAATTTATTACATATTTTTATTATAGATATTTTATTACTGATGAGTTATAGCAAACCGAACTATATTTCTTTTTCAATATAAAAGCTAAAAATTAAATATTTGAATTTATTTACTTATTTTGAAAAAAAATTGCAATTTTAAAAAAAAAATGGTTAGGCAGAAATGTATCAAGCAGGGTTTTTTTAAATTTTTTTATAAAAGCTGGATGTTGTTAATTTTGAATAGTATTAAGTATTTGTTTCAGAGTTTTAACTTTAACATAAAGTAAGAAAAAAAAATTGCAAAAATTTTGTCGAACCAAAATTTTGAAAGTAATATTTGAATCACTAAATGTATAAATTTACGATTAATAAAAATAACCTTTGAATTTCTTTGATTTCCCCTCCAAAAGCGGAGACAGTGCGGATAGACGAGAATGCTTCTTCTGCTACCGCACCTGCTGATCCATAAGCTTTCATTTCTTCTTGAGATGCGCCTGATTGTATCTAAAATGAATAAGAGGTGATAACAATTTTAAAATCTCTTCAAATTAAATAATCATAAACAATGCCTCACAGTGGTCGCAATCGAAGAAAAACCGGCCAAACATCTAAGCGTTTGGATGACTATATATTATGTAATTCTAAGAGTTTTGGATGGTAGCACTAATTACGTAAAAGAAGTTAAAATTAAAAAATTCATAGCATTAAATACAATATTTTGGTGAAAAGAGATTATGTTGGCGATATTTTACAAACTATTATCATAACATTATGATAAATGAGTATTTCACTAGATAAGCGTATTCCATTTTTTTATATATTTTTTGTTTTCTTCTTAATTGCATAAAAGTGTTTTAACAAGACCTATATAATTTTGAAACTACCACCATTTTTGAATTCCACAACGTTTCGAACGAAAATCAGAAACTGAAATTAATGTTTTGAAAAATGTCTATAAACGAAAGTAAAAAGCGATTTTAATTCTTATTCTTACTTATTTGAATTTTTTAAACATAGTATTTTAATAACGTAAAAAATTAGTCAAAAATTAGAATTGTTGTCAAAATATCTAAAACTGTTAACGTCTCCTTTACCGTTTCCTTTCGTTCGTGATGGCAAATAAGTATAAGTTAGACAAGTTATTTATGCAGGTAAAAAATCAACACAGAGTATTTTATTTGTGATTACATTGTTTTATGGACATCAATAAGAAGTTATTACTAAGAATTTTTTTTTAAAATTTTAGGCAGCTCTTTTTCGAATTATTCATGCAGCTGCCGCTGTTTTGGATGCTTTACATTACTGTATATTTAATGTTGCTGTACAAGATCTATAAGATTTACACAATTAAGAAATACCCGTTACTTCTTTAGTTCCTTTTCCTATTTAAAACAACTTGAAACCGTTCTTTTAAACGTGGTTTGAAACTGTGATCTCTTGACCTTTGAATTGACTGTTCCCCCACCCGATGGTCATAGTGAGAAATAAGTAATTACATATAAGAATCAATGATGTTGCTTAGAGGAAAAAATCTAATACAATGAGCATATCTTAACTACAGTTATTGTTTTTATTAGCTCCTAATACTCCTGATATTCTCTGTATCTTGTTGTCAGGACCTCTTAGGTCCTGATATTCTCCGCCACATCCAGACGTTTGAACACCTACTGCAAGCAGCGGAAATACGGCAGAAGAAGCTGAAAAAGCATTTTCTTCTTTCTTTCATTTTTAATAACTGTGGTGTAATTTCATTGATATAGAGATAAATTTTTTTTCTAGTTGTGTGGGATAGACAGGTAATTGGGCTTGTCTCAATAAATTCTAGGCTTTTTTTTTAAAAGAACCTTTCGGTGTTTAAGTGAGTTATCTGAAGATTCCCAAAACAGAAAATTGTTATGCCATGGAATTACTCATCAAGGATCAAAATAATACACAGCAATAAAAACTCGATTTCTTTTCGAGTAACGTTCCCTTTTTACCAACCTAAGCTGTCAGCATTTTCCACTGTCTAAATCTTTCCGTAGGAAACATCTTATTGTACTAATGGCAAAAAATGTAAATCTTGTATGAATTTTGGGTAGTCTCTTTAAGAGATAGAGCAGTTCTTACCTTAGCCACAATTGCCATAGCAATCGCATTTGCTGGTGTTATTGCAAGAACCGCTAAAGCAAGCTTCCATCCGTAATACAATCCAACACCCAAGCATAGAAAGGTAAGAGACAAAAAGCTGAGGCATATTCCAGCTTTTTCTCCTATGCCATCTTGAATTCTTGTCAAATCTCTACAAACACATTCATGTGATTTATGTAATCTACCAAACTGCAATTTATGAAAGGTTTATAAAATGCAAACAAAAGCAGCAATCTAAAACCAAAACGGAGTTTTGAAAAACTTCAGGTGTATTCATCCCTTTAGTTATGTTTATGAGATGATATGTGAACAGACTTGATATTTTAGAAATTTTTAGTATTGAGATTGTATTTAAATTTACACGTTATTTTACTATTCATAAAAATTTTCTTCCTTTTATAATTTCTAAAAAAAGACGTCAACCGTAAATTATTTTAAGGAAATTAATTCACGACATAAATAAAGTTTGCCCTGTCTTAATTATGTTTGCCCTGCCATCCGCATTTTTGATGTCTTTACCTAAAAGTAAATGAATTTAAAAACTGAATGGTAAAAAGAACAAACTGTATTGTAAATAGTAATAGTACAATGAAAAATATTTAATTATTTAAAATTCGACGCAAAAATAAAACGTAAACGGTAACCCGGAAGTCTTACTAGCAAATTTAACTGCTCCCGCCATCTATTCTTAACTTCACATGGATAACCATTTATTCTTACAATCAAATACTACTTTACGTTTTAGGTCTAAAATAAATGAAGTATATAAAATAAATGAGAAAAAAATGGAAAACAAATATATGGTTGGTAGGTACTTTATTTTCGTCGCACTAGAGCTGCACAATGGGTTATTGGCGGGGGTCTGGGAAAAATCCATGAGGATGATCCTAAGACATGCCATCGCAATTTTGATCCTCTACAGAGNTTCGGTTTCGTCTGCCAGCATACGATAAAACAGCTATAACTATACTTCTGAAAGTCAGAGATCAAAGATTTTAAAAGAATTTTGAAGCCTAAAGAACTGTAGTTTGAGTGTAGATTAAAAAAAAAAGAAAATAGAAATTTTGTCGAAATTGCTGATCACCTTGTCGGATGTACTTTAAAACATTATTACATTACAAATAAACTTTTAAGGACAAATAATGATCATTTTGTGGGCAGTACTTACAATTCCTAAACAATACAGAATCGCAACTAAAAGGGTCATAACTTTCTTAAATATCTATAAATAATTTATATATACTGTAGGGCTCCGCCCCCTGCTCGCTACCGCTCACCAACCCCCGATAATTGCTACGCAATTACATTTTTGCTTGCTTCGCGAACAAAATTGAAGTTGTTTTCCTGGAGATAAGCTGGCAATTTTTCTGCACCAACATCACATGGAGAGAATATGATAGGATTGTAAAAAGTTAGAGTCCTTAATACCAGCATTATAAACTCATATAAAGCTATTTTAATGCAAACAATATTATAAACTTACATAAAGCGAGGACGCAATATTATTTAACACATTACTATAGGGCATTAGCCGGAGATTAACCTCCGTATCCGAACAATACCTCCTAGAAGTAGAAAGGCCTCAGCACGGATCAATTTAGTAGTCCGATGTGACGAAGTTCACTGCGCAGTAGACGAAAAATAAGAAAGATGTCATTACGTTAGGGGTACTAAGCTGCGCAGTGGTTGAAAATACAAAATATGTCATTACGTTTGGACTACTAAGGGATATTTATGGTAACCCGTGCTGAGGCCTGTTCTTTCTAGGAGGTGTTGATCCGAAGCACGCGTTGCAGAGCCTAACTCTGGTAGACTATATTTGAGGGTGCCCCTTGATTCTCGCCAAGTTGTGATTGCGGTTGATCGCCAAACTGAGCGGGCGTTATTTTTAAATGTTCAACGGTACATGTAATTTCAGATGTCTGTTAGTTCTACGTTGGATACCGGCTGGTAGGGTTATTTTTGCCTCTGGTCAATAAGATCGAAGGTATGTGGGAAGTCATGAAAAGAGACTTTAGAAAAAAATGTCATCGCCAGTGAGGTACCACAGACGCCATTTTCGATTCGTATTTCGCCGAATTTATGCGGCGATGGAGGTACACAGATTCCATTCTTGATAAATTTAGACAGTATGTTTTAACTGCTATTAGAGAATTCGGTGCACCTAAATCTGAGGATATTCAAGCTGAAAGAAGAAGTGAGTTATTTTTTTCCTTTTCTTTCTGTGCTTACTCATTAATTTCTGTTTCGATTCAAAATGCATTTTATTGGGTTTATTACTTTTGCTCATATCGGGTTCATTGCAATTTTATAAAGTTTTGGCCGATGTTTTGTTAAAATTTTCCAATGTTTTATTGAAATATCATTATATTTTGGCAGCCATTCATGTTACCACGGTGCTCCGCGCAAACAGAAATGGCGCCAAACATAAGTCGCCAATTTCGCCAAGGGGCACCCTCAAGTATATTTTTACCCCTAACTCGAATCATTGTTGATCTTATAGGATGCCGAACGCTCCCTATATAGTGCTTACATCTCCCCCCCCCCCAGTAATTTAAATTTCAAACTGAAAACGAATAAAATCTAATGGAAAAAAACTTTAAAGTATGGCAAACAAATTAAAACGGGTAATATTAATAAGTTAAAGCTGAGTAACATTTCAAAAGCAAAAACCATTGCAAGTAATTGCCCAATTAACTTCAATACTGTCAACCGACAAAATATTTTAGTTTCAATCAGACAAAAAGCAAATTATATAATAAAAACACATGTAACTAAAATTCGACAAATGAAAGTAAGCAATTTAATTTTTTGTCATATTGAATACCAATAAAAAAGCAA